TTAAAAGGGATAATAAGCAACGGAGAGAGCACTTATCATATAGTCCGTGACATTGATAGTCAGCATGGTGCTGTGCCTTTTTTCTCCCACTCAAATTGTTTCACCTCGGTACAGCAGTAAGATTGAGCAGCAGGTACTCCGGTCACTCGCCTTATTTTCATTTCCAACTTCCCCTCCGGGAACATCACCACCTCTGACCCGATCTCGGCAGGGAAACTCCACAGCCATACTCCGAGCAGGCTCCACGCTGCTCCGCTTGTTGCAATGCCACACGCCACGCCTTGCCTTTTCCCCACAATGCGTGAAAACCCCTCCCCGATTGTAATAAATAAATGAGTAAATAAATGAAAACCGTTTCCGCCCATGTTGGAACGTCAATCCCCGAAACGAACCCAGGTTTAAGCGATGGTGCACTCCTCCTACCCGTATCTGCAGCAATAAGAGAAACAGGGAGAGGGGGGAAGTGGGGGCAGTTTTCTTTCCTGGTACTGGGAATATGTTTTCTTTCTCTCCCCCGATCGCACTTTTTCTTTTTCTCCTTTCTTGCGATGCTGCGGGAAACTTAGAAGGGAGGTAGGCACAGTATTAGCACTGCACTCTCCTGTCCTGTCCTGTCCTGTCCTCTGTGTGTGTGTAGGTAAGCAGGTGAGTAGGTGAGTCGGTACCAGTCAGGGAAGCGAAGGGTATGCGATAACTGCCGGTGCGGATCGGAAAATCCCTCAGCGGCAGTTGGCCCTGTTCCTCATAGGTGTGGGGGAATGCGATCGAGGGCTCGGGGAGGGTTGGGATTTGGAAGAGGTGGAATAACAGAAAGGGATCTTTGGGAGAAGGGTAAAGCATGGCCGGCCATGCACAACATTATGATACTCGTACTTTGGAAATGTGTGTGTGTCTGTGTGTGTGATAAACCGCGGACTAGGGGGGGGAGTCTGGGATGTTTTAACTTTGCCCTCCTCCAGCGTAAATCGCAGCACTCCTACAGATGGGCGATTGTTTTCCCTTTCTTCTGCGTTTTTCGCCCTGCCATCTCTCCCGCTGATTGCCTAAGTACCATCACACAATACGCTACCGGTTTTGAAATAGCATCCCCGGCACGAAGGGATTCGGTGTTGGCCGTATCATACCGCTAGAGAAAGGGTGGAGGAAGGGTCAACTTATGATACTGTACTCGTAGGTTAAGGTCGGAAGTTGCTAGTGTCGATGATTGGCCCCCCCCCCCCCGAATTGTTTTTCCGGCCCGCAACACGCTACAGTAGGGGATTTTGCTTTTGGCGCGTGCAAGGAGGAAAATCCGATGGAGGGGGCCATAACTGTACTAGTACGGAGAATTTGACTTTTTTATTATTATTTATTTATTATTTTTGGTTCCCGCTTCTTTCCTTTCAATCGCTCCCGATAATTCCACACAGCCCCGCCATACGAGGACTGGCTGAGCTGAGATTACTTTTGCTTCCAATCTACAGGATGGATCGGATCTCGCTTACTCGGCGTTCACACACATACCGGTAACTTATCTCCCTCCGCCATCTGCCACCGTTACCCGTACTGTACCCCACCACATCTGCCTATATCTTCTTCTCCCTCTTGGCCTCCAGCTTAGGTTACGTTCGCATACCGGTACTGTACCTCTCTATAATACATTGCGCCTATCTATAATATATTTGGTGTTACTTTCTTCTCTTTCCCTCTCTCTCTCTCTCTTTCTTCTTTTTTTTCTTCTTTCTTTCTTTCCTTTTCATTCCACCCTACTGGCTTCTCCGCTTCCGCCTTTCCTCCGGAAGACCTCCCGTATCAACGCGGTGCGTGTATCATACAATGCACGCAATTGCAGTAACATACCAGAGAGTAATTCCGGTTCGCCGATACCAAATCGGACACCCCGTAGGTTTATCCGTGACTAGCCAGCCTACCCCTCAGAAAAATTCACACCAAGTATGATACTGGTACTCATCGTACCCTACCCTATCTAAAGCTGAATAGCCTGTCTTTCAAATAAGAACCTAGTACGGATCTTTTTTTATACCCACAAGCCTCTCAACCCTTTCCCCCCTCCCATAACATACCGTATGATATGATATCATGCCATAGGATTATTTCCCGCCCGCTGCCCTAGTAGCCGTAGCTGTCTTTGACAGCCCTAATTTTCTCTCCTTAACTTCATGGCGTGATACCTAACTGCCCTTCTTCTGCCCCTCGTGCGGATGTCGTTTCTCTTCCCCCGAGGGGAATCCTTGCAGATGGTCGCTTCGTCTGCGGGCTGTTCTCCCGGATAATTCTGAAGATCAGGGTTTGCTTTGCTCCGAGCTAAGTTCGGCTCAACGGTCGAGCGTTGAGGTGATCAAACCTCCTCCGCCAAGACAAAAGGGATTCATCCGGAGGGATAATCTTCGGTGGGGGACTTTTCGAGCGTGGTGGCGCTTTGTATGTGCCGCGGCGGTGTGTCGGGCCGGGGAAATGTACTTGTAGGCATGAGAGCTCTAAAATTATAAACTATCCATATGTGCTCTTGGAACGAAGCATGGAACTAGCGAACGCGAGTGTGATAGTGGTGCTGTTAAGGTGCCGGAATGGCTAATCCTCTGTGCTACCCATCTTGGGTTTCACAGTGGGTTGGGTTGGCGTTGCTTTTTCATGTCCCTCAATCCCAGCGATGCAGTGAGATTCTGGGTTTGGGCGTGAGTTGCATGTGATACCGGTAATGGGAATCTTAACTTATTCGCAAGGGAAAGGGACGGAGAAACAGCAATAAGTCAAGCCAATTAGCTGCCCGTTGCATTCAGGGAAAGAGAGGAGGGGGCCCTCCGGTGAATGGGGAACGAGGCAACGAATAAAAAATCAATTTGCCTCTTTCCGTACGCGGTGGAATTGGGGTGGATAAATTTCCGGGAAAGAGGTTGCCGCTCCCGAACTGACGCACTATATAATGATATTGTTTGCTCGCAGCGATCTGTGTATTCCTGGAGCAGCCAGCAAGCAAAAGAGGAACTGGAGGGGGAAGAGAGAGATAGAAGGACATGGGATGGAGAGAAATAGAAAATGGAATAAGAAAAAGCATAAACCCAAGCTATGGTCACACAGTAGCAGCAGGGGATCGTGCAGTTGTTTACTACATTCCCACAACAACTTTCAATCCACCATACACAGCCTACCCAGCCAAGTATCCAGTACACAATAACCCGGGTGAAGGCGCGCGTGCGCGGAAGCCCTGGCGCAGTTACAGGTACACTGCAGCCACGGATCCCCAAGCGCTTCCCCGCAGAGCCTAAGACACCCCCTAACTTACCCTCTCACTATCCAAACCGGGTTCGCATCCATCCCCTCGCTCAGTTAATTTCATCTTACCTATAGCACAGCATACCTACTAGTGTCTCTAGCAGGAGCGGGGTTCGTTCCATCCCTCCCTCCCTGCCTCTCCCCGTTCCACGACTATCCATCGTGGCTAAGTCGCTGTTCCCTACCGTACCTTTCTACAATACCAACAGGCAAAACACATCAGGCACGGAAAGCAAAAAGGGAGAAGGCAAGAAGAACCCTAGGTACTCATCACACAGCCTGTAGACGTGTACTTTACCCCATCCTTTCCTTCGGGGGTTTTTTTTCAAACACCCCGGGATGTATTGGGATTGGGTAGGGTTCCTGGTTCACTAGTTATAGAAAAGAAAATGGGAAAGAATGGAACAAACGCGACTTAATGGACATGATATAGGTGCTTGTGTGGGGCGTGGGTTATTTAAAATCGACTCTCCCGGTGATTTCAGGCTGCGGGAGGTGAAATGGAGCTGGGGTGACATGGTGGGTGGATAGCTGGACGGATGGATGGAGGTGGAAGAGGACGGAGAGGGGGGAAGAAATTCCATGGATCACATTCTGTCACTCGGGAGCATGTTTGACTGGGGGGGGGTGTTTTGTTTCCCTCTCCGCCCCCTCCCTTCCCCCACTTCTCGCTCTTTACTTCTTACTTGGCCTTGGGAGGGAGGAAACGGTGTTCGCGCGAGAGGGAAATAATGAAGATAATTAAGATCAGGCTCACTTGGGTAATGAGTTAGGAACGAAGTCCGGCTACGAAGATTGGACTTTGCTTCGGATTCTTGGTCAGGGGGCCTTTTGTTTACTGGTTGACGACGTGGATCAAAGCTGTTTTCTCATTTTTTTCTCCCCTCCTCGTCCACCTCTAGAAAGGGCAAACATCGCGAGATAGTGTCTCATCATGTGCCTTGTGGCATAACATCTTACGTATGACATGGGTCTGCCAACCCATCTCTAGAAACATCTTCCCACCGCAAACAAGTACTGCGCTTTTCACTCCTTTGGTTTCCAGGCCCTTCCTTCCAACATTTTCCTTCTCTTCCATCTCTACTCACTCCTTCTGGTCCATTTATCACTCCGCCTCTCCTAAAGCGATTCTACCCCTTCCCAGGGGGGCTCTGCACTGGCAAATTTCGCGTGGGGAAATCCCAATCGGATCTTTCAGCAGAGATAATGAACGATAATGAACGATAAGAAACGGTGGTGTTGAGATGGTCATCCTCGTGCGTTGACGTTTTTTCTCTCTTCAACCCGCCTCGGACAGCTCTCCGGGAACCAACAGTCAGGTTAGCACCACCACACTTCCTCTCACCTCCTCTCCTCTCCGCTGCATATTTGAGCACGGCAGCGGAGAATTATTTGACTCCCATGTCAGATTGGCGACGTCCACCCTTCGGCACTTGTTTACCGTGAGTTTCGAGCCCGGTTTTTACGTTGTCTCAGGATGCGCGTGTAGGGCATCTTTTATTCTTTGGACTGCCGTTTTACTGAAAGGAAGGGGGGGTTTCGTTTTCAGTAGCTTATCCTTTCTTTTTTGGGGGGGGGGTTTTTTTTTTCCTTGTATGACCGACGGATGGGGAATAGGCTCGTTTTGGAGTTATTTTTTCCTCCACGTTTCTTTTTCTCGTTTCTCCTAGCTCACCCGGAAGAGGAAACAGAAGGATGCACTTTTTTTTCCCGTTTTCTTTTCTTTCCTCCGCTTCCCTCAGGTGGAGGGAGAGTATGAAGTGATGTGGGGTGATGTGAAGTGAGTATGTGGTGTAGTCGAGAATTGGCAACCACTAACCTACGCCTTGTGAAGATACGAGATTTCACTTGTTCGAGCACTCATCGCGAGAAGTCCAGAGAGATCGGGGCGTTAACCCAAACACTCACTAAGATAGCATAGGAAAGGAAAAAGAGGACTAAAGCGATCTTGGTTGCCGGGCCCTTTTTTTTATTTTTACCGAGAAACATCCCTAGCCCAGCTGCAAATGCACCGATACGCGCTTTCGCCTCTGGCCTGTGATGCCTAGCTGGTTGGCCGGTCGTCGGTCTATCATCTTTCTAGGGGGGTATAGCAGTTTGGGTCCAAATCCAAATACGCGTCCCTCTGCCGGAAACCCCAACGGATGACTTATCGTCAATCCGGAACAGGGCACGCACCGTTTGATAAAGCTTCTTCATGTGGTTAGGTAATTCAAGATTTTCCGTATCACATCTCAGACGGGATTCTCTTTTTATAGCTCATTCGTTTCCGGCAAGCGAGTCGAAATAAGAAAAATAAAATAAAAACTCAAGCCTTTTTTCTTCTTTCATTCTTTTCTACCTCTTCCTATCTTGGGGCCAGGCCATTTTCAACTTATCATCGTTGATCCCTGATAGCATGCGGTGTTGTCATCGCTTGTTAACGATCCTTCCTTCCGCTCTCATCCTCTCGGATACCTGCTCGTGCACAGATTAGCAGGTCTGGATTGGAACATAAACGACTACTCACAATCTCGGACTAGAGGTCTGATCGGGGTGAGGACTCTGGTTATCTCCACCGCTGGACCAGCCCGGGAATCTAGTCTACACCAAAATCACAAGCTATCACTCGTCGTATTTTAAAGATCTTTTTTTTTTCTTTTTTCTTTCCTCTTTCAATCGTGTCCGCCGGTACCATAAAATAGTACATGGGAATGTGAGCTGCGATACCCGTAGTGGCGAGCGATAGCCACGGTGCCTTTATCGAAATTAGATGCAGGCGGAGGAGGGAAGTAACAGGGCCCGCTAAGTCTTCTGTTTTCTGTTTTTAACAAAACAAAAAATTTCTAATTCCTGTATAGTGAAAATAACAAAGGTAAAATGAAATGAATGGAAATGCCCCAAGGAGCAATACGACACAGGAAGCCTTCGGTGTGTCTTCCCCTCTTCTTCCCCCTCCCCCACCTGCCTCCCTTCTCGTGTACTCTCTTGCTTAATCACCAGCAGGGGCACTGCCCAAAGATCAATCAATAGGATGCCCCCCACACTCACCGGAAATACTACAGGAGAGGAGAGGGAGCAAGAAAGAAAAAAAGAAACCCAGACCCCTCCCTCACTACCAACTATCTACCCTCAGTAAATGTTCGGAGCCACCCGGGACTTTCATACCTCCTATAGCACACGCGTACACACGAGTGTATGCACATCATAGGCAAGTACAGCTAAACTTGAAACCCGGAACCAACTCCCCTATCTCCATCACCTGCGTGCTCTTCCCCTCACTTGCCGGCTAGCTAATGGTGCGAACCCGGGAATCGATGCGTGGGAAACTTACACAGAGGGCGGGGAGTGGCTTAAAAAAAAGAAAAAAGGAAAGGAAAGGGAATAAGAAGGCAAAAGAAGGCTTGTTATTTAGGTGTGGTGGTGATGATTGCTCAGATTTGATTATTATGACAGGGTTTTCCGGGGGTATTGTACTGTGCTATACTATGCTGTGCGGGGTTGGGTTGGGTTGTGTGGTGTTCGTGGTGGCGATGGTGGTGATGGCAATGGGGTGGACTACCCGGTCCCGGGCTTGCCTTGGGTCTAGACTCGTATGCGCTGCACATCATATATCGTAGTATCAAGTCCAGAGGGCGTGGGGGGTAGATTTATAGTGGAGTTTGCGGGTTGGATATGCTTGGGGGGGGGGTGAAGGGAGAGAGGAAAGAAGGGTAATAGCTAGACTAAATGGGTTTTATGCACCTTGTCTTTTTTTTTTTTTCTTTCTTTCTATTTTTTTTTTGTAGTATTAACCACTCGTAGGTGGTAGTAGTGATGATTTTCCACGAGGGGGGGGGGGGGTTAGATAGGATAGTGTCCTTTTCGTTTCTTTTTTCATTTTTTTTTCATGTCTGCGTGTGCCTACATACATTCGGGTTCGTTAGGATGAGGAAGGTCAAGTGTATTGCGGGGTGGAGGATTGGGGAGGGTTATTCCCGGTTTTCTGACAGACTGTTTGTATCTTATGTGGGGGGAGGGAAGGGGAGAAGTGAAAAGATTGGTAAACGGGAAAATACGGTTTTGAATCTGCCGGAATTTTTTTCCTTTTTTCCCTTTTTTTTTTTTTTCTTCCTTTCTTTCCGAACTGAAGTCGTATCACAGGTATCATAGATAGACACTCTATGATCTCCCGCCCGCTCCATGGACTTTTTCTTTCTTTTCTTTTTCTTCCGATTCCGTATCTATTTACATGTAGGGAGGGAATGGCTGGACCATGTATCCTCCAACTCAGTAAGGGATCCCATGCGGGGTTGGGGTGGAGCGGAGGGAGGCAAGTAGGATATGGTAATATCATAGGAATAGCGCAGTATCACAAATGAAACAAGGTACACGATACTCCACGTAAACGCAGTGGAAACCCCTAATTTGGGGGAGGGGAGGAGTAACTACGCCCGGGCCACCACTCCTCCACCCTTCTAGCAAAGAACGGGAAAAGCCCTATTGCGTGGCAGTCCTCCTCCGGTGGAGTGCAGTCAAATGCTGTGTATCCACACCAAGAAACAAGCAGATTGGGGAGGAAGGGAGGAGGAGGAGGAGGGAGGTGGTGGTGGTGGTGGTGGTGCTGGAAGAGGTACTCTCGTACAATAGGATAGAAAGCTCAACACGGCCAAAACCTTCAAGTCAGGCGTCCTATCCGAGACACTGTGGCACTATCGGGGAATCACGTTGGAAGCAATATCTGTGTGGAGTAAATTTAAAGCCTATGTATGACACATACCGGGATATTAGGTTAGAAGCCCGATTCTCTCAATGTCGAGTCTGGTATATACGACACGATATGGTGCATCGGTTCGGAAGGGGGCTGAAAGAGTAAGCCCTAAAAAAACGTCCATTTGGCCTCCCTTACTATGATATCATACTCCTACCCCTCCCACTGCCACTTGTAAGTGCCGTTGTGGTATGATATTGTGGTAGATCAAAGGGTAAAAATAAAAAAATAAAAAAGGATTTCCTAGACGTCATAGATTATCACCCGCAACCCTTGTCCTTAGAGGTGTTTGTATGATAATATATATGATAGCGATGGTGGGTTGGAATGAAGGAATGGCCACTATTTACCGCGATCTGTAGGTGGGGAGAGGTTAAAAAAAAAGGTAAAAGAAGAAAAGAAACAATTTGGAGGAAAAGTTTGCCATTTATTGTCCTAGCTTAGATCGGGTGTTGAGGCTCCTCCTTTCCCTCCTCATGTCCCAAGGCTGGTGTGACCGGTAACACACCTGGCTAAATAAATAAATAAAAAATAAATAAAATGAAAATAGTTGCCTGTTGAAGTAAAAGACGCAGGAGCGAGGCGCTATTGTGGAGGATCGACACACATTCCTGTTCCTGAGTATTTCGGTGTATATTTTCCTGGATACTGTACACAGAGGGAATGGTCTTGCCTTCCTTCCTTCCGGATTCGGAGTTAGTCTGGCGTCCTCATCTGTTTCGAGTGATCTCTGGTGATTCGGACTTATGTACCGCAGTGGTCCGGTCTCCCGGTGTGATCGAGTGTGGTTCTGAGGATTATCGGATTTGCTGATCGTGGGACTGGAGGAGAAGGTGGTAGTTCCCGCTCCTCCACGGTGGAATTACTTGCCTTCCGGGGAGCCCCTTCAGTCTGGGATTGGTTGTCTTTGAGCACGTTCTCCCATTTGTTCCCCTTTCCCTCCATTGCCCTCCTTCCCCTCTCTCCATAAACGTAACAGCTTCGGGGTATTCATACCGCCGGTCTGATGGACGTTTAGCTCCTGGAGAGGAAAAGAAAAGAAAAACAGACAAGAGAGCGGATTTGGTTAAACCTCCGAGACTGAAGTGCGTAGGACTGATTACGTAGGAGGGGTTTGCTTTGCTCTGCGTCATCGGCGCCTAACCTTGAATCAACTCCGCTCGATGGCATGACACGGCTGGTGGATGGAGATGATCGAGGGTGAACAGAAGACATGCCATATGAGCCAGCCCGGAAGCTGCCAAGAGATGTGGTATCCGGTGGCTACCATCACACGGTATGTCATGCTTTCCCGGAGGGTTCCTTTTTGGGCACCCATCCCTTCATGAGTGAGAAGAGCAAGATCGAGTGAGGAAACGGGCTTGCTCCTTGTGGCGCGCTATGCTGCCCCAAAGAGATTCGGGGCAGGCGAGAGTTCCATCCACCTTAGACTCATTATCCTCTCCCGAACATCGTGGCCATATAGATGAACGCTGTGAGGCCAGGGAACACAATGGAAGGCCAAGACAGCTAGGCACTGTTGGGCGGCTGCCCGGTCCGGGCTTAATTCGTGAGTTTATGGCGGATGGGATTTCTCTAGTGACGGTCGTTACCAGATGAACTAAACAGCTATCAGCAATACCGGTAAGATGTCCCCTTGAGCGGAGCGGTATTTCAGAAAGCGTCGAATGTTTGCAGGAAGGAGAATACTGGGGTCCTGTTCCGAGCACAATACCCCATTCCCCAACCCTACAGAGAACTGACACTTGCTAGCGCAAAGTGTGCGAAGAAAGAAAGCAGAAAACATCTCATCAACGCTAGCACAGTGTATTGCCCTTCCTCTCCCAGTTCCCCTTTTCTTCCCGCATCCGAACACGCATGCTAAACACAAACATTCCACCTAGAACGTCAAAGAATCTATGGTGAATGATGAAGGTGGGTCGATGGCGAATGTCCACGTAGTGTGCCGCAAGTACATCCGCCCACCTCAGAGCGCCAAGGCACAGAATCCTTTGAATGCGGGGCCCAAAGGCATGGAGAGAATGGCTATCGTAGAGCAAATGAAGGAAAGGACTATGGTCTTCTTCAGAAACCTCGCCAGTATGGCTTTACCGGCAGGAGAACTTGTGGTCCCCCGGCGCACTTCTTGGACCCTGTATCGCATTAGGAACCATAGTATATGGCTAGAATGGGGCGGGCCCACACTAGCAAGCCCAAGGAACCCAAATCGCGCAGCCACTGTAGAAATCATTGGGCTGCGATTGGACACAAGATAGAAACTGTCAAGTGCTGTAGTATATACGTTAGACAGAAGCGATTGGCGGAAAATTTTCGAATCGTGACATCTTGCCGGTAGAGGAGAGTATGATAGGAGGCCATAATAGGGGGAAAAAATGAGAATTCCAATAGATCCTCCGACTTTCAATGGGACAATACCCTAGGCAAACCCGCCCGTAAACAGTAAACAGAGGATGAGGGTAAAGGGAGACGCCCCAAAGATCCCGGAATAAGTGTTTACTATAATTCCTTCGTCAAACTGGCGAAGAGTGGTCACGGAAGCCAGATAACGATATCCGTTCAAGTATGGACATAGTCCGAGCTTCTGGAAGAGAAAATGAAAACCCCGGACTCTGGTCTGGGTTCTATCCTAAGCAGATCTCTGCTATCATCTACTGGTACCCAGAGAGTATGTACTCGTCGTCCCTGTCAGATTATCATCTTGGTCCAATAGGAAGTGATTATGAAGTTGATATTGTATTGGAAGTGGATGTTGTTCAAATAACTTGCGAGTTTATGTCATGGCTGTCAGAGAGAGCAGCTGCCACGAGAAGCAAGGCACGTCTTTAAGAGCCCGACGAGTGGAGGGCTAACTTAGGTTAGGGTCCACCAAAAAAAAGCCTCATCTCGTGAAAAATGTTCCTTCAGGCCAATTCCGAAATGTGACGCTATAACAGGTCTGCACGGGAGGGCTTGTGAAGCCATGATGGCCAGGTATGATATGATAGTTCCAAGAAGTCACTAGCTTCGGTACCGGTACGGTATCGGTCCATGACAACTTAAGAGCCGAGTGATGTTCAATGACGTGAGTATTCCAGAAACAAAAAAAAGCATCTCCGGAAGTACTTGAGGGGATTTGGGTGGATTTTGCCCCATTATTCTATCTCTTTTAAAAATTTAGTCAAAACAATAACAAGCTCGCCCAATAGCCCATCTCAGTACAAGCCGCTCAAGAAGCTGTATCGTACTTATAATCAGTACTATTTCGAGACAACTGCACAAACGCTTTGGTGATATCGACGCGCACAAGTCTGGGCTGCCAAGCCTCTCTTTCCGTGTCAACCATTGAAAAAGAAAAGAGCAGCTCCATGTTATAAATTTCCGGAGAACAGTTTGCGAACAGCCTGTGCTATGCAGGATCTCTTCCAGCAATCGCTTGAAAAAAATTCTTGGAGATGGTATCTTGGCCACGCATACAGTAAAGAGGTGCTAACCATGTGTTTATCTCCGCCACTCCTAGCAGCCTGAGTCGAGAGTGAGAAGGGGTAGCGCAATATCAATCGTATCCGAGAGATGAAAAGAAAACAAAGAATCAAGGAGGGATAACGAATCTGGGGTTTCAAGAGAGAGCAGCAGCGCTAGTGTTAATATTCAACGACAAGAGAAATAGGAATGCAAGGATCCGCTCATGTCTAACATGGAAAATCCTCGAGTGATGAATGGTGAGATAATCTATAGCTTTGTGTCAAAAAATCCTTGCAAATTGTACCCCATGGCAAATCCTACCATATGGGAGGACCCCGGAGGGGTTCTCCCATTGCCATCCGTAAAAACTGGCGGTTGGAAAACTATCGCCCCGGAACCAGGTTTCCTAGTTGAGCCAAGCCTCAGAGATCCCCACAATTTTCAGCCTCTTTGCGAATCTCTCCTCTCCTCTTCCCCCATCCGATGTTGATCAACCAACCAACTAGACTATAATTCTCAATTCACCAGGTACACGGGATGTCTGATGCCGCTACAGACAGAGCAAAAGAGAAGGTATTCGAATTGGCCGTACCCCCCCCTCCCCCCCCGCGGCTAGCTCCAATTGAGGAACCAAACTTACACATAAACAAAAGCCGAGCGTTGCTCGTTCACTTATCGCAGGAGGTGATATTCAGTCCGGTTCTCTCAGAGCGATTAAACGGGGCTAAAAATTTGTCTAGCGAGTGCGGGGGCGGTTGAAATTGGTACGATGTTTTACTGCGGATTCCGGAAATTGAGTTTGAATTAACAGGAAACTCACCCTCGCAGCGATTACCTACCCAGCGGACTTTGCGAAAACAAGATCCCAATTAAACCGTCGACTAGCTACCGCGGAGAAGCTTCCATGGTACCTAGACCTTGACTTGTCGTTCCTAAGAGAAGCTTACCGGGAATAGGCCCAAGTTCGGAAAGGAATGGTACGCAGGATGCACTACGGCGATAATTGGCAACTCCATCAAGGCGGGCATCCGTATGTTTATCCCATCTCCCCAGTTTGCCAAAGATTTGTAGAAGTATTAAGTGTGATAAAGGTTTCCTTGCATTCGACGCCTTTGTTAATATCCTAGCGGACGAGAACGGAAATATTAGCGGGCCGAGAACTGTCCTTGCAGGGCTTGGAGCTGGCACTACGGAGTCTCTGATTGCTGTCACACCGTTTGAAAGTATCAAAACTCAATTGTCTGGAATTTTATCCCTCTTGGCCGAGGAAGCCCGCTAATTGTTTTTCTACAGAATCGACGATCGTAAATCTGGGAAACCACGGTAAGCTATACACCTGCTGCTTGCAGGAGAAGGTACTGATAGGAGATTACAGAATGCGAGGATTTATTCACGGGTCTGGCGTTATTTGGAGGGAGAAGGGGGTAGGTATACTTGCTATTCTGCATGGATTCCGGCTAAGGCAGTGTAGTACCGTGGTTTCCTTCAAGGCCTAGTACCTACCACTGCGCGTCAAGCCGCTAATTCTGCGGTGAGATTCGGATCGTATACTACTATTAAGCAGTTTGCGCAAAGCTACGTCGCCCCGGGCGAAAAGCTTGGGCCACTATCTACCTTTGGAATTGGTGCAACGGCTGGCTTAATTACAGTGTACGTCAAGGCTGTTTCACTCAGGAGAGGCTAATCATGACTGTGAATAGTTATTGTACCCAGCCTCTAGATAGCATCAAGACCAGGTATTCTTCCCCACGGCCCATATTCACCGCTTCTCACCCAATGTGATCGCAGGATGCAATCGATCTCTGCCCGTGCAGAGTATAAGAATAGTTTCCATTGTGCGTACAGAATCTTTACAGAAGAGGGAATGCTTGCCTTCTGGGCTGGTGCCTTGCCTAGATTGAGCAGATTAATGGTGAGTAATTGCCTGGGTTGATTACCGGAATAGGTATCAGCTAATTATTCCAAAATACAGATCAGCGGAGGTCTTGTTTTCACCATGTACGAGAAGGCGATGGAGGTGTTCGATAAATTCGACCCCGAGCGAAAATACATCTAAAACGCATTGCCCTTATTTGTGCAGTCACTCGGCAAAAGTCTTCTTGAAACTAATATTCACCCTGATGGAGATTACGGTGTCCTAAGCGGGGAATCTTGCGTAATAGGGTCTGTACCGGGGAGGGGCCCGTTTCGCGGGCAAAGAGAAATCCCGTTTCCCGAAGACTCTTGCCGAGTGGTTGTAGGGCTCTATTGATTGTAATATAGGTTAGATAAAAAGTATTCGCTAGGATAGAACATAGGCATCCTAGGTAAAAATAATAGCAAAGGACCTGCTGCTACGGCCCACTAGGCAAAGCTATACCTACCCGTTTCCGAAAATACCGTATCATAGTCTTCAGATGCTAGGTAGATTGGCAGTCTGATGTATCATTCGGATATAGTGGATATTCAAGTTCAAGAAAGGTGCCGCGGTATGATATTTACCTCTTTCGATAGGTATGGCAAGTGAGAAGAGCCCCGGAAGCGTTTCTTTTATAATATGGTAAAAGTATGCGCAGCTATTCACTATACTACGTTACTCGGAAATTCTATCAACATGAATAATATATCTATTGTATTGATGGCATCATAAGGGTATAAGAGCAGCCTCTAGTACTCCAAATAGTATCATAACAAAAGTAATTTCCTATCACCCTCCTTCCAAACCCCCAAGCCTCACCAACCCCACCCCGCCTCAGGCCTCCTATGATATCGTATCATACCATACCTCGTGCGTCCAACCTCCGAGAACCACTCCGGAAACGCCATCGAGTGACAAGCTATGAGTGCCTAGCTCCAAATATCTTACCCTAGCATGAACATTTATCATACAAAACCCCTTTATTGCCCTCCGCCCCATACTCCGGAAATTACCGATACACGGACCGAAATACCTATGTAGGCTCCCTTGCCCACAATACTAGCCAGTAAGCAGATTCAAGATTTACTCGAGTACAGGGGAAGGTCAGCCTGGGTGGGTTAGGGTTATAAGTGGGGTGCGATGAAGTGACCTCTTTGGCCCCTCACAACCCCTAGGTTCATCCCCTAGGAGCACATCATACCACGACTCGCTGAGTCACTACGTAAATCCGAAGGACACAGACAAGAGTTGGTTCATTCAATCACCAGAATTGCAAAGAAAGGAAAAAGAAAAGAAGACGAAAATGGCACCCTTCAACCTAGTCGTCGCCCAAAAGGTTCGCTGATTCCCGCGCTCTCCCTTTGGTTTATCCTATAAGTTTGCGATGCTGATTTGAGTACAACGCTCGCCAGGCGTCTCCGGGGCTCATCTACCCAGTACTCATTGCGGCCAGTATAGTCAACGCCGTCGATAACATTCAGCCTGTCGCCATCGTTACCTACAAAGATGTCGATCTTCTCGATAGGAAAGACAAGGCATCCGCGGTCGGCGTACAGTTTGACGGTGAAGAGATGATATATGGCCCTGAGGGCGTTCTCTATAGAATCCTCAAGTCTTATTCATCCTCCCTTCGGTCCCGCGTTGAGAGCACTGCTGTATACCGACTTCATAGAAAAATAAAAATGGAATATTCGGCTAACCGCTGATTAGGAGGACGAATGGATCAAGTTCAGCACCACTCGCTTGTCCGGAGGCGATTTCAAGGCCACTTCGGCTGCGCTTGAGGAATTGAACGACCACCTTACACTTCGCACATTTTTAGTTGGCTATACCTTAACAATTGCTGATATTGCGGTCTGGGGAGTTCTTAATGGGAACGGGCAGGCCATCTCTGCTATCAAGAGAAATCACCTGCCAAACCTAGTCCGCTGGTTCAAGTATATCGGGTCTATAGAGAGAGTTACCACCTCTGTCGACTCTTTCAAGGCGGAGGCCATTACCAAGAAGAAGGCTAAGAGTAAGGAGACCAACTATGACATTGGCCTCATGGATACTGAGAAGGGTGTCGTTACTCGGTTCCCTCCAGAGCCATCGTATGAACCACACTCTAGATTTCATACGGACCCAAGCTGATATGCAAAACAGTGGATATCTACACATCGGACATGCCAAAGCTGCTATGCTGAATCAATACTTTGCCCAACACTATAACGGTACTCTGATTGTTCGTTTCGATGATACCAACCCTACCAAGGAGAAGCAGGAATTCCAAGACAGCATCCTACAGGATTTAGAGCTCTTGGGCATAAGGGGAGATAAGCTTTCCTATACTAGTGACCACTTTGACGCTTTATACGACCTTGCAATAGAAATGATTAAGCGCGGGAAAGCGTATTGCGACGACACCACTCAAGAACAGGCAAGCTATAAAAAAATTAAATTCGAGATCGCACAGATGCTAATAAAGTCTTCAGATGCGCGCTGAGAGAATGGACGGAATCGCTAGCAAAAACAGAGATCGTTCGGTTGAAGAGAACATAAAAATCTTCGAAGAAATGGCTCGAGCAACCGAAGCCGGTATCAAGAATTGCCTTCGAGCAAAAATTTCAGTAGACGACCCTAACAAAGCAATGCGTGACCCTGTTATTTATCGCTGCAATCCATCTGCTCATCACCGCACTGGCGAAAAGTACAAGGTTTACCCTACTTACGACTTTGCTTGTCCCCTCGTGGATAGTATCGAGGGAGTTACCCACGCACTCAGGACCGTAGAGTATAGAGATCGCAATCCCCAGTATTGGTGGATGCTGGAGGCATTGGGAATGAGAAAGGTTCACGTTTGGGACTTTGCCAGACTTAACTTTATCAAAACTCTTTTGAGCAAGAGAAAGTTGACCTGGTTTGTTGAGCAAGGACTTGTCTGGGGATGGGACGATCCTAGATTCCCAACTGTTAGGGGAATTCGTCGCCGTGGAATGACCATTGAAGCGCTAAGACAATTTATCCTAGCGCAAGGGCCTTCGAAGAATGTCGTCAATCTTGATTGGACCATCATCTGGGCCGGTAACAAGAAGGTGATTGATCCAATCGCTCCACGACATACCGCTATTATCAAAAAGTCGCAGTAAGTCCCCTCCCCCCCGTATTATAGAATCCATAAAATACCAACACATCCCAGCGTCAAAGCAACCATTACCGGTGCTCCCACCCCAGCCGTCTGCGAGGACAAGCCCAAGCACAAGAAGAACTCCGCGATCGGCACCAAAAAGACCTACCTTGGCAGCACCATTCTTCTCGACCAAGCCGACGCCCGTTCCTTCAGGGAAAACGAGGAAATCACTCTCATGGACTGGGGTAATGCAATTATCACTTCGATCGAGCGTGCCTCCCCCGAGTCTGATGTAACTTCCCTAACTCTCAAACTCCATCTCGAGGGTGACTTCAAAAAGACCGAGAAGAAGGTCACATGGCTCGCCACCGAGCAATCTCTAGTGCCTGTTGAACTTGTCGACTTCGACTATCTCATCACGAAGGACAAACTCGAGGAGGAGGACGACCTGGCTAACTTTATCAATAAAGAAACCGAGTTCCGTGAAGACGCTATCGCCGACGAGAATGTCAGGAACGTGAGGGTCGATGATATCATCCAATTTGAGAGAAACGGTTACTATAGGTGTGATCGCGCGGCAGCGGAGGGAGTCAAAGCGGTGTTTTTTTTGATTCCTACAGGAAAGGGGGAGAAAACGGCCGATAAGAAGTAGGATGGGAGCCTCAAACGGGAATCATGTGCAGGAGATAGCACGTTAAATTCAAAGCCCATCACCTCTAAAGGTTAATAATTGATCCGCCGAGCTATTTGGCGCCATCTGTAATTGTGAAATATTAGTGCACCAACTTTTCGAAGGCGCTTTGGCCTTTAGAAAGCGCAGACACATAGATATTTAACTCTGCATCTGCTTGTAATCTACCTCTCCCAAAGGTCTAGACTTTACTCGCATCACAGCAAGTACTCACAAATTACCCCCCCCCCCGCGATATCTTCCCTCCCACATCAAACACTCAACCCACCCCACCCCCACTCCACTGCCTATCCCGCAGCTGCGCGAGCAATCAATTCACAAAAAGCCCCACCAGGACCTCCCCGCCCTCACCAAGGTCAATCCTACTCACGGCAAGGGGGCTCGTATTCCTCGGCGAGCCAGACAGGGAAAGCGCCTCTCTATGATATATACTATATTTCCATACTTCCTCCTCTCCCCCACATGGCGCTGGGAAGGGGAGGGTGGGGAAAAAAAAATTCGGGACATTATAGAATGTTCCGATTCCCTCGTTTTCTCAATCCCTCACTTTGCTCACCTTCGATTGTCATCGAGGTGGGGGGCTATGGATATTCTGCTAGTGGGTTCATTATAATACTGTTACTGCGCGGGCGTATGATACTTTCTTTAGTTTTTTTGTTTCTTGTTTCTCCCCTAGGCGAGTTAGAGGGGGTGGGGATAATGTGCTGTTACTCGTGGATACTTTGGAGGTGGTGGACAACAGCTATGCACTGGTGGGGTGTGTTTTTGGGCCTTGATTTCGAGGATTGGGTATGTACGGTAGGCTGGGCCGCAGGGGGAAGTTTTTCTCCCCCCCCCTCTCTTTTCCTTCAAACCGTCCCGCTTACCCGACGCCCAATAAATAAATAATAAAAATAAACCTTTTCTATAGCATTTAATAATAATAATACAGATCATCGATTAAACAGAGTGGAGGGAGCGAGCAAACAAAAGAATGAAAAGGTTATAAAAAAGGTATAAAAAAAGTAAGCGATATATAATACAAAAGAGAAAAAAAGTCTTGATTGATACACAAAGGAAGCGTACATCCATGCAAACACTAATTGTTACTTCTGTTTAACAAAAAAGACTCCCGCAGGGTCAGAAAGTGCAGCACAACACGAAACCAAGATCCCCCGCTCCATCAGTCGTGGTGAAGAGGGAGCCATTAACTGCTCCAAAGTAGGATACCCAAAACGAGACAATAGAAAATAAAGGAAGTACCGCAGCGTCAGATTCACCGATTATCACCCGGCGCTTTGACAGCCGCTTTTACCGTCTTTCTCCGTCCGACACCATCGTCATCATCGTCGTCCTCTTCCTCTTCGATCTCCTCGATTCCCCCTTCGACGCCATCGGCAACTTCCCCGTCGACCTCCCTCTCTCCCAACGTGCCCCAATGTCTCGGCAGTGGCGCCGGTGCCTCACCGCCGTGCAATTGCCACTCCATTAACCGGGAAAACGGACCGTCCCTGGCACTCAACTCCTTGAAACTGCCCGTTTCTGCTACCCTGCCGTCAACGCCTAGCACGATGATCCTGTCGCTCCGCTTAATAGTGCTAAGCCTATGCGCGATAGAAATTGTCGTGCAGTCACTCTTCATAAGCCCGTTCAGCGCTCCGTTCACTGCCGTCTCGCTCTCAGCATCCAGCGCACTAGTAGCTTCGTCCAGCACCAAAATGTCCGGGTTCTTGACGAGCGCCCTCGCAATCGCGATTCTCTGCTTTTGCCCCCCCGAGAGCATGGCGCCCCGGGCTCCCACATAGGTTTCCAGCCCATCGGGGAAATCAGAAATGAAGGTGCAGTTGGCTTTCCTAGCGGCAGTTATGATTTCGGATCTCTTTGCTGTGGGCTTTCCGTACGAGATGTTTTCCGCGATAGTGCCGGAGAAGAGGACTGGCTCCTGGGAAACTAGGCCTATGCGACGGCGGAGGGATTTTAGGTTCATGGCGGAGACGGGGACGTTGTTGATGGTTATATTGCCGGAGGTGGGGTCGTAGAAGCGGAGGAGTAGGGCACCGATTGTGGACTTGCCCCCGCCGCTAGGACCAACTATAGCGACGTTTGTGCCCGGTGGGATGGAGAAGGTTAAGTCGTTGAAGATTGTTACGGCGGGACGGGTGGGGTAGCTAAAGCAGACATTTTCAAATTTAATGGTGCCGCGGGCTGAGGTTACAGGAATTCCGACTAATAGGAACGTCAGTAGAATTCTAGGAAAGATATCAAAGGAGATTACCTGTTGGCGATATGGAGGGTTTCCGGTCTTGGAGTTCAAAAAGACGACTCGCTGCTCCGACCCCCTTCATCAACTCTGAGTAAAAACTCGAGAGACCGAAGAGACTGGACCCAGCGTACGCAGTGTACCTACTCCAGTTAGCACAACCTTGGTACTCACTAGAAAGTTCGACAAACATCAAGAATGAAGATAGTTCTCCGATGCTTATAGCTCCAGATTTGACCTGTTGCCCTCCAATATAGAGAATGGCCAAAATAGTCATATTTCCAATTAGGCCCGTCTAGTTGGGCCACCGACGTCAGTTGTTGGCCCTTAATGCATTACTCAATCAGGAAAGCAAACTCACGCTACTGAAAAATGTAGCACTTATTAAAGACTCCTTTTTACCAAGTGCGAATATCTTCTTGACCTGACGATTATATCTCGAAACCTCCAACATCTCGCCAGTGAATGCCTGGCTAGTTCGTACATTACCAAGCCGTTCCTCGGCAATTTTCGACAACGTGCCAAGGTTCCTCTGAACCTTCCTACTCAGATTCCTTACAGCACGCCCATAGAAGAAAGCTCCAATAGCAACCGGTGGGAACATGATACTCAGCACAGCAGTCAACTTCAAACTGACATAAGCCATCAATCCAAGACCAGCGGTTCCGGTAACGAGCGCACGGAGGCCATCGGACACGTTTTGAGTGATGCTCTTGCCCACAATGACTGTATCTGAGGAGAGACGGGAGATCAAGTCCCCAACACGATTAGCGTCGAAGAATTCGGCATTCTGAACGTAGGTCCGGTGGAAGAGCTGCGATCTGAGGCGGGCCACAATACGTTCGCCAACAATTCGGAGGAGAATTATGCGACCATAATTGCATGCCGCACCGAGACATAGAACCTGGATAAAATGATTAGTTTCCTACTTCTAGGGGAGTAGGAATGATTCGTTTACCCCTCCAAGGACCATGTAGAACTGCGGCAGTCGCAGTCCAAACAGAGTGCCTACGTCGGTCTGCGTTGCTATGTCCAGAATTTTACCAATAGAGAACCTAAGGCAAACTTAGTATTTGCCTCAAAAAAAGGTGGATCCGGGGGCGTACGGGATAGACATTGAGATTGCCGAGCTCATCAATAGAAAGACAAATGCAACTGTAACCCAAACTTTAGCATTCAAAAAACACACCGACACATCCCCCTAAGCTCCACATACCCGCTAGCCATTTAGCTTCCGGGCGCGCAATTCTCAATAACCGAACTATTTCCCCAAGGCCCGGTTTCACAGCACTTGGATTCCCATCCTTAAGCAAGCGCGCAGAGAGATTAACCTGAGCAGCCTTTGTAGCCTTTTCCGAGCGACCAAAGGCTTCCAATTCTGGCTCAACTGAGGCGGATTTTTGAGGCCCAGCAGGCGACTTCTCTGTAGCACTACTGCTCCGGACCTCACGGAGTATTGGCGATAGGGAAAAGCATCTCTTCTGGGACCAAACAGCATTTGGAGGGGCACAATTGAACGAGGGGAAGCCGGGAAAGGATCCCCGAGTCTGTAGCGATGGCTTTTGTAATTGTAATCCGAGTAATGAAGTCGACCTTCTCGGGAATAGACGAGTGCTTGAAGTAACAATTGTTTGTGCTTTGGTGAAGTGACATATTAACCCCGGGGGAGGAGGGGTGAAACCAGTCACCCATGAACATGTCGCCGAGCGAAGAGAGGACGACAGAGAGGACCGCATTGCGGGAGGAACCAGAGAACTATTGGGCCGTTCACAGCCGGCTTCTTATCCGGACTCGTGAGAAATCTATAAAGGATCAATATAAAGTATTTCTGGGCAAAATGAAGGAAAAGGGGTTGATTTTTTGTTGGTAGATGGATTGTCCGTTCCCGGGGTTTTCCCTCCTGCGTCGTTGCCATGGCGGGGGGGATTGAATGCCAACTCTTTCAACTTGAGCATCACACATTTCAACTTTTCTCAAAATTCTGGAATTTTCACTGCCAAGACTCCATCCTCTCGTGAGCCTCAGCCTCACCCCCTCCACAGATGTGTGAGAGCCTTCTCTTTCCCGGAACTCCTTCCCCCCTACCTATATCTATACTATTATCCTAATAATATTATGATATTGTCACTTCAAACTCCTCTCCCTACTCCTCCCCACCATAAGTCGTGAATTATAATTACACATTCACTCCTATTGAACCCTCCCTCTTGAATAGGGCTCTACAAGTGCAGGAGAACTGACCTGATCACCCCACCTTATCTACTTCCTCCGTTCACCTCACATTCTCCTATTGATCAACAATCATGGTTCTCGACTACTCAAAGTGGGAGAAGTAGGTACCCGTCGGTTAATTATCGCTGTTTACAGCTTTTCAAGCTAACCCATAACACAGTATCGAACTCTCCGACGATTCAGACATCGAAGTTCACCGTGAGCCCCACCAAATCGGAACCCCTCCTCTTCCGAACCTTCGAGGCGAACCCTCTAGCTAACTGTCACACCCAACAGCAAATGTCGACAAGCGCTCTTTCATTAATGCCAAACGGCGACAGATTCACGAGCAGCGCGCTATGCGAAAACAGCAGATTACGAATCTCCGTATCGAGCTTTCAATGAATGATGTTCTCCTCTCCCGTGTTTCGAAGCTTATATCCACTCTGGACGCCGGATCAAAGAGCTCCAGATCCCCTGAAGAGATTGTGTTCCAATCCCTCATGGACATCTCCTCCGCCGACAGCAATCCCCAGGAATTTACCCCTCCGGAGGGCACCCCTTCGTATGCACAGGTGATGGCCTCGCTTGTCGATTCAATAAAGAAAGAGATAGACGAGGAGAAGCCGGATGACCGCTGGACAGCCTTTTTGAACAAGCTCAAGGAGCACAAGACCGAGCTCGCAGGTGCGTACGAGGATTCCGGAAAGAGATTGGCAGACCTGGAGAAGGAAGACAACGCAAAAATCACCAGCGACAGTATTCACGATGGCTTTTCCGCCGGACACGTTACCAAGGAAGCTCCGCCCCCGAAGAAGGAACCGGCAAAGAAGACACAGAAAGTTCAAGCCGTTGAGCAGCTGAACCCAGGTGTCAAGGCCAAGGGACCCTCGGCAACAGACCCATCCTCCGGTGCGGATGCAGACGTCGAAGAAAGCGGTGACGAGGCTGATGAAGATGAAGACCATATTGAGCCAACAGCACTCGGCAAGGAATTCTCGCGTATCAAAATGGGCGACTACCGCGCGTGCATGGAGTTCATCTCCCGTAATCCAGCTGTTGTGGCTGAGAAGGAAACCGACGGCCTTCTAATTGAAGCTTTCAACTCGCAAATCGCTGGGAAAGAAGACTACGCAAAGCAATGCGTCCACCAAGCTCTCCTTCTACAGTACTGTCGCCAGCTCGGACGTGACGGCGTAGCCCTATTTTTCAGAAGGCACATATAAACCCCCCCATCATCAATCACAGCAATCATACTAACAGTCGGTAGGATAACCACCTCAAACCACCAAGCCCAAAATGTCTTCCACGAAGACGTTACCACAACCTACGCACGAATCCGCGAGCGCGCAGCAGCAATCGCAACCGAGCGCTCAAACGAAAACGCCGAGCAAATTCAACTCCACGCCGTGGACCCGAACACTCAGATCTCAATCGCTGTGCCATCGGCCGACAGTGAGGACTCTGGTATCCAAAAGTCCCGCGTGATCTTTAAATCCTTCCCTCCCGGATTGCAGCGCGCTCTCGAGAGCGGTAGTCTAGACGAGGTCAACAAGGTCCTCGGGAAAATGAGCGTAGAAGAGGCGGAAGAAGTGGTGGGACAACTAGGAGAGGGGGGCATGCTTTCTCTGGAACCACAGATCATCGACGCTACTACCCAAGAGGGGCAGCAAGTGCTCAGGAAGATTGAGGAGGAGGAGCGCGCGGCGAAGGCGAACGTGTCGAGTTCTTCAGATATCACGGCGACGGACGGGAAAGGAAAGGGCAAGGAAGTAGAGACATTGAAGGAGGAAGATCTAGCCAAGGAGATTGACTAAAATACTTTTCTCGCCCCCCCCCCAGTCTCATTGATATTATAATTCCGCTGGGTTTTTGCTTTTTCTTTCTTGGTCCGGCTGGTTTACTGTGTAGTTTTTCATCCCCGTTCATTCAAGTCTAGTCTGTCGAGTCTTGCCCAGGTCACATGCATCATGTCTGGGAGCAAGAGTCGGGTAGGGAAGTCAGTCGTTCTGTCACTTTTTAAGAGAAGTAATTGAACTCGAATTACTTGGCGCGCTACTATACTCGAGTATCTTTCTTTTCATCTATCGGCAGTCTCTTGCTTGGCCAAGCAGCGCCTCGTCAGGGTTCACGCCCGGCATGTGGCCCAATGGGTATTTCTCACTGCACTCCACTCATCTACTCGAGTACATGAGCACCCCTTGGATCGGATCCCCTAGCCTTGATATGCTAGCAATCTTATCAGGTGATCAGCACGAGTGATGAGCTATGAACCATTACCACCAGTCCAAGTATGATACCCTGCTGATAAATGGCTCCGGATTCGATTCTATTGCTTTTCTCCGTGGCCGTAGTCTAACAGACATTGAATACCAGATATACCCCGAAGAAGGACAAATTCACCGCGGACGATCACAAAACCCCTTCTTGAAGATGATTAATCACCGCCGGGGTATCGGTTAGCTTCGGTTGTGAGGGAAAAGACCTTTAGCAGCCCGAAACGATAAACAAAGCGGGGGGGGACGGGGTTACCACGATAGCACGATTCCGCATCCGCGATATGCGACGACCTCGTTCATGGTACGAGTACAGTACTGTACTCGAGGGGTATTCAAAGTTGAAAAAGTTGGACAAGTGTCAGCTTACCTTGATGTTACAGTACATGCAAGCTTGGCGTGCCCGGAAATTATTAACTTACCATTACTTGGCCGTTTTCAAAAGCACCCGGAAATCGGGCTCGACTCGGCAGTTATCGTCCCCTTCGGTCTAACTACTAGTACGTACTCGAATACAAGTAGAAGAATCAAGATGGCAAAGTAGTGTAAATGCTCAAGGAGCACTGCCAGAGGTTTCTGCCGCATTTTGCCACTCACTCTTGCACCCAATGAAGGAAATAGCGCGGCTGTGCGTACTGCCAAGCCACTTACCCAATCTCCGGATACTTTTGAAAACGGCAAGCACTTCACCCCACTCTACAAGTACCAGTACTCCTACAATACTTTTTTCATGGAGGCCAAGAGGTCCATAACTTGAGTAAAACACCATGTAACAAAATTTACCAGAACACAGAAATAATGCACAAAGCCAAAATAATATTTTAAAACATCCAAATGAACTCTTAAAATATGATAGTGTGCCTTGAGAACAATTATCTATTTTTCTTCAGCAAAAAAAATCTCTCAATATTGATTCTCCACTAATGTGAACAGAATTTTGAAAAACAACATTGGTAGAATCCCAATAAACTTTGACACTCTATCTCAATGGCACATATCATGGCACACTCAAGCATGCTACCCAAAATGCATAAACACTATTGGCTAACACCACAAAGTAACCCAATGCAGCTTCCCATGTTTACCCACTACCGGAAATACCCTTTTTTAACTTTGAATATGATACCCCTGGTATGATAGTATGACAGAGCTTCACTCCCGATACTAAAAGCAGGTCAACTTATCCCGTGAATAATTTTTTAAAAAAAATCCATAGCAGCAGTGCGATGAGCCTATCATACAATATAATAACAAATAAAAAACTCCAGAGTACCGTACCGTACGATACAATGCCCGCGCGCCCACTCATCCTGTATAGACTATCACCAACGAACCGGAGGGTGTGGGGACGGTTAAGTAGGTGATAGAAATGGATACTTAACCGTACAGTAACAGTACCGCATCACACCGGTACTCGTAGGTAGGCTCAGGAATTGGTCTCTACGGCGGGGGGGGGGGGGGTATCATAGGTAGAATACCGTACCATATACTGTACTACCGTATCTGGCTTAAAGGTATGGTATACGGTCTCCCGCACACAGGGCATAACGAAAGGGGTGAAATACGGTAATCGGTATGATGGTATCAACATTGTCACACCACTACCGTACGAAAATATCTAACCTACCACCACACGAGTATTCTAACTACCCCTAAAAATCATACAAACTACTTGTGCCTCCTTCCCCACGACATATGATACACACACGCACACACACGCACACATATATATACACACCACACCTTCGAAACGGACAAAACATTGTAAGCAACGAGTGGGAGCGGATGACTACCAAATTCCTACCGGGGAAACGTGGCAAGGCCTCCTCCTACAAGTGCCAAGTCTAAAGCTACGGTATTGCAAACTATCCCGTGGCGGGCATGAGTATCGCGGTTCAAGGTTAGAATATTAATAGAACAGCATAGAAGAAACAAAGTTAGTGTCAACTCTAGGATCAAGACCCGGAGATGTATCCCCACAATCGAGCCGGGGAGTTGGATAGCTTAAGGGGGGGGGGGCTCCTATACTCAAATACTGTCCAAATCCGACTCGCAAGTGCTACCGGTAGTGATATTTTACGCTGGTATCCGAAAGCGGTGCCCTGGGTGCCTCTTTGGGGCGAATTAGGATCCCTTTTTTTGATCCTCCCGAGCAAAATAACAAGTTCCTCCAGGGGCTGCGTACTGTATCATACCACGACCCGGCGCATCACAGCAAGTATGATACCAAATCGCCCATCGTTCAGTGTTAAGGGCACTCCACATACAATATGTATTTTAACCATAAGCTCAAAGAGAGATTCCACAGATTTGCAAGGCAATCGATCGCTAGATCCATTTGTTTATCTCATGAAAAAAAAAATGAAAAAAATGCTTGTTTGTAGACTATCTCTCGGATTACAATACCGTACAGTACCATCTTGTCAAATTCAGTATTTCTGTGCAGGCTATCTTGATAAATTATCTATCCATTTTACCTGAGCACTCGCACTGTCATTTTCGCAGGAAAATTAATGAAAATTTCTTCTACAGCTAAATTCCCAATCGACTCTCACTGATAGCGCAACCTTTTGGTCTTGCCGTTGAGACTTGATGCGATTCTTGTCGAGGCAGTCCAATTGTCCCCCACCATACTTGTAGATCGGTCCACGTTATCAACCAACATCTGAGTCTGGATTTTGTATAGGCGCTTAGACGGGTAGACTACGGACAATCTGCCACACAAAATTTTGGTCCCTGCTGCGTTCTGGTGCTTCTTTTTCCATTTCGCGCTTTCTAAACTAAAGCATCTGCGCTATCCGAGTCATGTAACCAACTCCTAATTGAACAACGTTTGTGAACACGGTTGTTATTGCATACAAGCAAATACACAATCCAGATATGTAGTTGACGCAAAGAATACAAGCAAGGTTTAACATACAAGCAAAATTTGACCTTTTTGCACGGATCTAGGTGTCATGCAATAGCAGTCGTGTTCACAAACGTCGAGTACCGGTACTAGTACATTTCAACGAAACTCAGAGGGACTTGGCGATTCATAAAGTATTTGGATGACTTGGCGCCAAGGCATCCGGATACTTTTGAAAACGGCTAGCAAATAGGCGAGTATCCCGCACTTGGTTGAGAAGTACCACAACCCGTTCAGCCCTACCACCTCCTGAGAAGCACCAATAAGAAAAGAACATCAATGTAAGTTTGTTTAAAGTCACTTTGTCTCTCCAATCAGCTAGAGTACTGGTATTAAAGATCGACTTGCTAAATACATGGGAAGACAGCGATTGTTTAGCGATGCCTGTGATATTTAGCAAACTCGTCACCAGGGCTATTCCTCGCACAATCATGAGCATTCCTTCAGTTGCACACCGGATCAAACGCCACTACACGGTATAATAGAACAAGGCTCGGAGGTAGAGTTCGTTGGGCCTCCGGGACCCCGAAAACTGGCGGCCCCTGGCCCCGTTCACCGCCCCGCCCCGGCGTTTGGCCTGGGGCGGGGCCTATTTTTGGCCCGATTCTCCCCCCGCCCAGTACGGGGCCCCGCTACTGCTCTCAGCCAATTTTATAGCTGGGGGCATCGGCAGGGTCCCCCAATGACCCCAGTGCGGGGAGTGGGGCGGGGAAACGGGAGCGGGAAGGCACCCCATACCCACAACGGGGCGGGATGAGGATGTGAAAACCCGCCCCGCCCCGCTCCGAAATGAATCCTACTCGGAGGATGCAAAAGATGGGGTTGCAGGTTCCGGGGGGAACGTTGACGGGGGTGGGAAGCCTCTATCGTATTTTCAAAGGAAGGTGAGTTTACAACGACAAATCTGCTCGACTATAGTCTGATTGCCTGTCAGGGGGTGCATACAGGGTTTAACAAGATGGAATCATGGTTTAAGTGGGCAGGGGGACTTATTTTTGCCTCAGTAGGAAATAAGTGGCCTCTTTCTAACAGCTTAGACCGACAAATGTACCAGTTTGGGGCAAAGTTTGCTTATGACGTCTCTACGGAAATAAGAATTGCAAAGAAACCCGACATGCAAGAGACCAAATTCGAGAAGAAGCTAGAGAGTCAGGAGGGGAGGTTGATAGGGCGCATTAAGACTGAGCTCAGTCAACTTCGCTTGGAAATCCGGAACGATCGCCTACAAGATGAGCTGAAAGGTAAGGCTCTGTTTGACGGGAACGGAACCGTTCGAGACCGTTCCATTTTCTCATACAAAACGACCGTTATGAAACGGAAGGGTAAGAAAATTTGTATGGGGAACGGAACGGAATGGACACGAACCGTCGTAGCCAAACAGACCCTAAGGGGGGGGGATAAGGATTAAAGTCCTCCACAGGGCTATGATGAAAACTAGACCGTGACGAGCAGGGGTCAGTGGCGGGTATTTTTTTTTGTTGCCCTACTTTGGCGAACTCACTTTTGCTTGCCAAATACCCTGTTCGTCACGGCCTGTAGTTGGGGTGGCGTGAGGCGGTGGCTAGAAGATTCTTTTTTTTTTTTCAGTAGTATTGGCAGCCTGAGGGCTTTAGAATAATAATAACTCTACAGTTGTGCCTGGCGATAATGAACGCCAAGAACCAGGACCTCGAAGCTGCGTTCACTAATTTTTACTTGGTGAAAATATTCTACGATTATGTTGGCTTGGTGTAAATGAGACTATATAACTCCTGTGGGTTTTGTGGGGGTGCTACCATTTGTTGAGTAGGAACCCTGTGTTAGCCTTATACAAAAACATTGTGAGCATACGGAATGTCTAGTCGGGGGAGCAAGACCCGACTCTGGGTGTCTCTTTATGGCCCCAAACTACCACCTTGAGGCACTTTGGAGCATCATCCTCATATCAGTCGAGTACCATGGAATACCGTATTAACTTGAATAAGAGCAACACATCTCGGGACGTCTGACTTGCCTATTTTGGTAGGGACGGAAGAAAATACCAGCAAAATAAAACCACGCGTTACCAAGAGGGGAAACCTAGACGTCCCGAGCGGTGTTGCTCTTATTCAAGTTCATACGGTACCGGTACGGGTGGCAACGGGGTGGATACTCTGTCCCTCTCTGCAATCTGGTCACCGTATCCCCGGGAGGTACAGGAATTGATTAGCCTACCTTCCAGAGCACCATGCCGGAAGTCACCCTCCGTAAGCCTCGAATTTATGCCACACGACGCCAGCAGAACGGCCGCCCCGTTCTACTCCACAATGGCATGCCACAATGCCAAGACTCCACGCAATACCGAGTGATGCTTCATGTCCCCCTTAAAGCACAAGAGTGAAAGAACGCCATATCATACTACTGTACACTATATACATCTTCCCTCCCACTTCCCTCATGTCTCCCCGATCCAGTAAACAAAAGATGCCACCCAGTCCACAGAATTATCAGTTCACAAAGTAGTCGAGAGAAAAGGAAAAAAGAAAAAACGTAGACTAGCCTATGGTAATCACATCCGCAGTCGAGGAGAAAATATACCATCCCATACACTGCCGCGCAGGACTTCGGGCTAATCGACAAAACGCAGGGCGAAAGGTAAGAGAAAAAAAGGAGAAAAAAGAGAAAATCCCCGAATGATAATAATAGTAATAATAATACACCCTAACTCTACCGATGCCACTTTCGTTTCCACCCTAGTTGAAGGCATCCTCATCCTTGACCTTTCTCTGCCTTGGCTTGCGGCCCTTCTTAGTGCTGGGCGTGGTAGCGTCTCCCCCTCCGCTTGCTCCCTCCTCGGCGTCACCACCGGAGCCGGAGCCCGCGCCGCCTTGGCTCTCCGCGGGAAGGGGGATGTCCGGGACTTTGGCAATAATTTCAGCGAGGAAGTCGAATTGGTCCTCGTGGAGGACGGCTTCTTTGAGGTGACCAGCGGTAATACGCTTACTATTACGCATACGCGCTTGGAGGGCAGCCTTGTCGCAGAGGGATACCATGAAGAGCTCTAGAGCTTTGGATACGACGACCGGGGTGACCTTGTTCGAGTAAGGTTAGTTCAGCTATCGAGGGAGGCTGAGGGAAACATACCTGCGCAACCTTACCAACATCCTCATCCGCCTGCATGATACGCTTGATCCTCGCAACGGGGAACTTTGTCTTAATAATCACACCAGTTCTACCAGTTGCTGCCGAACCTCCACCGCCACCACCGGCAGAGCTCGACTCGCCATTAGCCGGAAAGGTAGTGTTGAACGGAGTTGTGGGAGTATTCGGGATATTAGCTGCAGCGGCGCCACGGCCACGGCGTCCGCGCCCGCGACCAGTCTTTTCGGTGACAGGAGTGGTGGGCGGAACCAGAGGGGCGGGAGCTGCGGACGGGAGCTGGTGGTGCGGCGGGAAAGGCGGAAGCAGGGAACCTGCGACTCCGGGGATGGGATGAGTACTGTTGTAGGGAAAGTACCCGGACATTTCTTCGTCAGTTGGGTGAGACATTAGTCGGTAGACAACCGTTCAATTGACTGCGGCGGTGCGCGTGCAAAGGCACCGGTAATGTAAATGGGATTGTGTGCGGTCGAATTTTCGACGGTTACTGTCGGTAGGTGGGGGAGGTAGGGGTCGGATGGGATTGGTGGGCTGCTTGGCCGGACGGATCGACGTGTAGGGTTGAATGGGATGGAATTATGGAGAAATTCAATTGGCGGGTGATCGAAATCCAAAACAATCGCGCAGGGAGGGTAGGGGTTAGGCGGTGGGATCCTTTTCTGGTGTATTAAAGGGAAAAAAAGATACCCCTCCTCTCGAACGTGTACGGCCTATATCAAAAAAGGCAGCCTCTCCCCTTCTGCAATGCAGCGGCGAGTCGAAAGTCAGTAAACTTAACTATATGGGCAGGACGGGTAGTCGGGTCAAAGTCCATCCAACCAACCATGACAGGTTAACTCACCAAGAAAACGAGAGATTCGAAACAGGAGCTTTGTCTAACTTATGTCCCGGACCCGAACCAATAAATAACAAAACCGCTGACCACAATGACAGCGACGGCGGCAGGGCGGTGGCGGAGATATTCGTGTCCGTGCACCCTTCCTTCAAGAATTCCAGGGATTGAGTCGAGAGGGTCAAGAAATGAAAAATAATATATAAAGCGTCCCGGTTAAAAAAAGGTTTCTCAACAGCAGTTACCAAGCAACCTTCATTATGAAACCCCTAAAATAGAAGAAAAAAGAAATAAAAAAGGGTTGTGAGTGGGATGGGGGTTGAGGGGCGGAAGGAAAAAAAAAAGAAAAAGCCGTGTGCGTGCGAGCAGGCAAAGTACTGTAAGAAAATGGAGGGGGCGACGGAAGAGTCCTTATATTTTTTTTGGCAACCACATCTTGGGGTGGATTCAACGCCAAGGAAAATGTAACCTTGTTCCCTCCTTTTTCCTGCTTTTTCCTTTTCTTTTCTTTTCCTTAGAAATAATGAGGGAGAGAGGCGTGCGGTTTGGATGGATCAGAGCCACCTACAGGAAAGTACCCCTAGCCCAGCCCAGAGGACGGCCATGGTGCTCCTTGAGAAAAAGGTAAGGCAGAAGGGGGAAAAGCAGGAGGAGGAAGGAGGAGGAGGAGGAGGGAAGGATTGTGCAGGAAAAGAGGAAAAAGAAATGAGGATTGTGACTACCGTATGGCATTCTGTCCAACCCTCCCCCGCCATCTGAGGTTAGGCTGCCACCATTACCATCACCACCGCCACAGCACAAGGCGCAACCGCCGTAACATCTCTCTCCCTTTTCCCTTCTCCCTTTTCCCTTTTCCCCCTTTCCCTTCTCTTCCCCTCTTTCCCCTTCAACAAACAATGTCGAATGATGATAACCGAGCAAACCCAAGTCACTACAAATCTCCTCTGATCCTTCTCTCCACCCCCTCTTACCCTGTCTCACCCGTTCCATCTTACTATCTGTCCTATCCCCTCCCTCCCTACTCCATCCAGCTCTTACACCCCATAAAACCCACCCTCCACCCATAAAACTCCACCCGCCTTGCTGCGACATAAGCTCCGCTCGATGGCCCTGCCTGGAAGAAAGAAAGAAACCTGATTCACTTCGTGGTATCTTCTTCTCCGGGGAAACAGGGCTGCGATACGGGCCACTGTGTTACGGGAAGGAAAGGGTGGTGTTCGTTTGGGCCAGGGTGTGGCGTCCGGGGATTTGGAGGGATGGGGGTAGTGGTGGGTGGGGTCTATGCTATGGGTTCGATGGTTGACGGAGGTGATGGGGCTTCGCACAGGTGAGGGATGGGTTGGGGGGGAAGATGTTTCGATGACGATGGAAAAATTACTTGATCTAATCTGACGACGCCTGTTTGTTTGTTCGGCTGTGTTTGGGAACGGTGTGATTGGGGGAATTTGGTCTGCGCTTGTGCTTGTGCTTGCGGTTGCACTTGTTCCCGTGCCTTGCGCCTCGTTGGTTCGCGATGCGGGTTGGTGGAATCGATTGAGGGAAGAGCAGTTGGTTTGATGACTAAGCTGACATTATAAAGATACTGGTGTGATATCGTGCCACTGGCATGGTATCGCCCGAACAGAGTCACCACCCCAACGAAACTAAAGCGAGCGATCCTTGGTGCAATCTTGTAAAAGCCGCAGCGCAGGCAGCCGCAAGTGTATTGCATATACACATCGTAAGCGCAGTGCCGATCATGGCTTCGGGGGGGGGGGGCCTTGGCACCTACAGCACAGCACAATTTGATCACCTCCACCCGAGTATGATACCGGTACCTCAATCTCCCATAAAAGCACTAACTAAGGTTACAGTGCATACCAAACCCACCGAATCCAAGCAAGCTATCACAGTGCATAAACCAGTCATCTCGCCCACCATAAAATCACGGAGCCGGTCAGCCATAGAGGCACAATACCGTATGATACCGCCGGGAGCAAATCGACGGCGAAGAGAAGATCGGCAAACCCAAGTCGTGTTCCCCCCCTCCCCCCCCTTCCGACACGATGAATACTTATTCAAGAGATCCGCTCCACGATCATTACCACCGCACGCGGGGGTCATGATATAACCAGCGCATTTTCATAAGCTATGAGAAGCCCTAGATAGATATAAAAGCGCGGGATCGTAAAGGTCAGGAGTGCGGCACTGGGTATATGTCGTATCATACCGGTTTGTTTATTTGATGGGCGCTTTAGTGTTTGGTTAAACATAACTTGGGGGTAATTCGGCTGGTGGGGCCTTCTGATTTGCTAGCTAGCTAGTATGGTTAGCGCTTTGCGGGCTATGGGTGCTGTAGTGGATTGGCTGAGCCGTAGGATATAACGACTGGTCTATTTGCACTGCGCCATATCTAACATTGAAACGCAATTCCCTCCTTCTCCGTCGTGACGTTCCCACCGCCGGCAGAGAAACCCGTTCCATCGCACTTGATCAAAACCATTCCTCTCTCGCCCTTCTCCTTCTCCCTCTTCTTCTCCTTCTTCCCCTTCTTCCCCTTCTCCCCTCCCCCTTCCCCGCCTCCTTTCCCACTCTTCTCCCCCAAGTTTCCGGTAAGTAGCTCATCGCAAACAAAGCACGTAACCACCCCTCCTTCACCCCCCTCCTGACTGGCGGAAACAAATTTATCAGCGCAGGGCTTGCATATCACATGCCCGCACGGCTTCGCCACTATCCATCGCCATTAGCCCAACCTTTTCCCACCATGCACGTCAAAGGTAAGGAAGGAGAACTCACGCATCGCTTTGGTAGAATTGCTCAAACCGCGTTTGCACGCCGGACACACGCGCTGCGGATCGCCATGGTTCGTCTTCTCGTCCTTCTCTTCGTCGAAGTGGACCGTCGTCAGTGCCTTCAGGGAGTAGTTGTGTATGTGTGACTTTTCCGAGGCGGGGCAGACGGGTTGGAGTTTGGGGAGTTTGGGTGGGAGGGCCGAGGGGGAGACCGACGGGGTTAGGCTCGGAACCCAGAAGGAGGGCAGTTTGGTCGCTGAAGCTAAGGTCTAGTTAGTGGCTCGCCGGTCAGTCGGTTGGTCGTTGGGCGGGTAAGAGGAGGGGGAGGGGAAAACCTTTTCATCATTCATGAGGATACGGGCTTTCGTCCTCTCCTCACGAGCAATGCGAAGCAATTCCGCCTCATCCAATTCGAATTTCCTCTTCTTCCCCTTCCTCCCGCTCTTTCCCCCTTCCACCTCTCCCCCCTCCCCCTCCTCCAGTTCCACCCCATCAGCAACAACTCCACCCCTCACACCCCCACCCCCAACCTCCAAGCCCATCTGCAACAACTCAAACTCCCTCACGCTCCTCCCCCTAACCTCCTCATCCTCTCGCTGCCTCTCCTCCTCCTCCTCGCCCCTCCGTCTATCCAGATCTGCATGCATACGCTTGATCTCCTTGCGCTGGCTGAGCAAATTCTCCACCGCGCACTCCCGGCAGAACAAGTCGCCCATGGGACACGCCACCGGCTCGCGCGCGCGCATCAGACAGAGCGAGCACGCGTCCAGCGGCTTGAAGCTGTCGCGCGTCAGTCTCGTGCGCTGCTTGCCGTAATCGCCCTTTAGCAGGGAGCGTTCGTAGGAACTGGCAAGTCAGTTAGCAATGTAAAACAGTGGACCGGAGAGTAGAAGGGGGGGGGGGGAGTAACGTGAAGAATGCGAGGGAGGTGTTTCTTTTCGAATGTGACATTTTTATTTTTATCCTTTCTGTCTTATTCCTATTATCCTTATTATTTTGTTCTATTTTCGTGGTTGTCTTGTCTTGTGAATTGTGGTGATGGTGGTGGTCGGGATGGATATCATAATTAGGTGGAGCCGGTTGGCACTGTTGGGGTACGGTACAGTATTTGAATGATACCCTACCTTACACTTGGATGGTTGAGCCGCTATGCAACGGTTTTTTTAGCTCATGCGCTCAAGTACGAGTACTGCTTGGCAGTCAGAAGGTCTCACTCGTTCTTGAATCCTGAATCCTGTAAGTACTGGCATGATACTTGTATCATAATCATACCGTACCCTACCGGTATGTACCAATTTTTGGGAAAGGCGATGGGGTTTTTTTTTTTTTGGCTTGGGAGGCCGAGTGTCGGAGGGGCATTTGTGGCATTGATTGTGTGTGCGCGTATACATACCACACCATAGTATCATACCGGTACATAGCATACCGGTAGCACTGCTGAAACCATCTCACGCTTGAAAGCGCGGGAAATTCGTATTGAAGAGTTACTCTTGATCGGTTTGTGTGAATTGTTTGTTTGTGGACACCAATGTGCTCGGAATGGGTTTCTTCCCCTTCTCCCTTTCTGGAGGATTCTCCTATAGCTATGATCATCACACCGGTAGTAATCACGGGCACCTCAAAAATAGCCGACAGAAACCACCACGATACCCGCAACATCTTATTCATGGCGATCACTTGGCAGCATGAATACAATACAATACAAGCCACCCCCCCCCCCACCAATCCACAGGCGATCGACCACCTCAATTAATAAAGTTGGTACAAAAAAGGTGCAGGATGACACTGCAAAAGACAAAATCCGCAAACGCCCGTTCGGGGGAAACACTTGCAAACTCGGGCTTGTTGGCGGGATTAGATTGTATGCGCAGGGAAGCTACGATATCACCCATCAGCCATGGGAAAGGGAGGAGCAAAAAAGCGCGAAACGAGGGGACATGAAACAAACCAGTTAGTACAAACTGTCCCACAGTGGCGGAGAATCCCGCCAGGAAAGCATTGAACGGCTACAACCATCGCGAGAAAGAGGGAAACTCGTCAGCCGTCGTCGCATTGATCAATGGATGGAATGGAAGACATACGTAATTCCCAGCGACAACGCAATAGGCAAACTGCAGCACACCCGTGATCACCAGGAATCCCAGGAACGCGTCAATCAGCTTCGTGCGCTGGGGGGTGCTCTTGGAGTAGTTGTTGAGGATGTCTTTGAGGATCGAGAGCGGGTCTGAGGGAGGGGAGTTGTGGGATTTTGGGGTGGGTGTTGCTGAGGGGGTCGATGCTGCTGGGGCAGTTTGAGCGGAAGAGGAAACATTCTTTTTCGATGGCATTGTGCGTGCGTGTGTGGGTGTGTGTATGGTGCGGGTATTCTGAAAGGTTTTTGAGGTGGTGGTGGTGGTGGTGGTGGTGGTGGTGGTCAACCCTTCGTTGCAAGGCGAGGTTCGGGAGAATGTTAGGGGATTGATGGTGGTACAGGCGACTCTGTCCAGAGCTGAAGCCTTGGATGGACCGCTATGATCCCATACGGTAACATACATGTACGGTACGAGTACTCGTACCGTAGGCTGAATGTATGCACGAATAGTGTAGCCGTACCGGTGTCGCATAGCTATGGTAGGGACTGGGATTGCCAGACACTTATGCGTCCTTCACGAATACCCTGTCATACCGTATCGTATGACCGGGCATGATATACTTGTACTCGAGTACAAGAAGTCGCTTGGGAGTCTGAAGAGAGATAGATGCATTCCCTTCATAATCGTCTACATACGTACGAGTACATTTAATAATTGGTATGATGGGAGAATTCGTGAAGGACCCTTTGTGACCCCCTTTTCCTCCCGGGAATCCCTGGTTGCCAGTGCAACCGCGAGAGTGTTGCTGTGGTCGACATGTTTGGGGAAACAAAGCCATTGTTATCATATGTTTTTGTTTACGCTCTCCCCCACCCCCCTGTCCCTCTTTTTTTCTTCTTCTCCGCCTGCTGTATGTCTGTTTATTGCTACTGGGTGGATGAAAACACTGCCCCACGCGAATCGGGGTCACAGGCTGTTACTGTAACTTGAATCCTCCCTCTTTCAAATCGCCTTATTACCGCCGCCGTCACCGTTGATAACCCACCCAAACGTTAAACTTCCCCCCCCCCCCCCCACCTATCCTTCCGTACTTTTTTCCCTTTCATCGTCTTCGAGATCTGTGCATTCCATCTCCACGATTTTTCGAATCCTCTACAGCTATTTGCGCTCCCTGAGATTTTTCATTCACGGCTACCACCCGCGCCGGTTGCTGTACCAACCGCTAAAGTGGTCATCATGGATTCAGAGAGAAGTGTTAGTCCCTCCCGAGCCCGCCCTTCGGCTCCACCCCTGCATTCGCCATTTTTTCCCCCTACGAGTACGAGTACATTTGCCCCCAACCCTCGTTCCCCTTGCTAACCGGATCGACTCGAAACCCTTTCTAGTTCGCATACCCTCACTCCTCCCTTCCGCGGCCGGGGAGCAGCAGCAGGATACCACCACCAACACCCTCTCTCTTCTCCAAAGTTCTCAACGAAGTTCCCCCAAATCCACGAGTTTCAAGCGACGCCGCCATGATGCCCCCACCATCTCAAGCTGTGACTGATTCAATGAAGCAAAAGAGTAACAGTACCTCGGGTCGGTCTCCCAATCATTACTCCACCTCCTCCACCTCCACCTCCACCTCCTCACCCTCCTATGGAGCCACTCCTGGATCCCCACTCTCCCCAAGATCCCTACCGTGGAACATTGCTAAGCGAACAGTAGTGAATGGACAGCTTACCACTAAACGGATTACCCTCGCTGAACGCGCGGGTGCCGGCGGGAGGAGCGCGGTTCCCACTTCGACGACGAAGTCGGCACACGCCAGGAGTGTGAGCACTGGCATCGGGAGATCGACTTCGACCGCAGCGAGCACCTTCTCGAAAAGTGTTGGGGGGAGGCCGAACTCGTCTCTGGGGATGTCCAAAGGTTCCGCCATTCCTACTGGTGCTAGACCGGCAAGTGCCCAAGGCTTCCGACATCCCGGCGGTGGGGAGAGTGCATCGGAGAATGGAGCCAAGTCTGCCGTGAAGAGAAAACGTAAGCTCGGCGTGCATTGGCCCGGATTTCTATTTGGTTGTTTACCTTGCTGACGGGGGTGTAGATACCGATATCAAAGGGAGACTTGAGGATACCGAAGCCGCAATTGCCGAGATGCGAGAGATCCAGGCCCAGGAGCGTATCGAGACCATGTCCCTTAAAGAACAGCTCGAGGACCATAAACTGAGAGGTGAAGAAGAGCCTCCGAAGGGAATTAGCAGGGAAGTATACACTAACGGTGGTGATACAGCATATCAACTTGAAACAACCCGTGTGACCCTGGAGACCCAGAACACCCAAGCTCAATTCGAACTGGAGTCTTACCAGAAGAGGACCGCCGAGCTGGAGAGGATCTTGGGCGACGAGCGGAGGGCTCGCGCGGCCGAGAGAGATGATGCCTCAAAGAGACTACGGGATGAAACCGACGAGATTAGACGTAGACTTAGAGATGAGATGGATGGAATCGTCCGGTCGCACAGGGAAGCGCTGGAGACTTTGGAGAGAAGGGCCCGGAATGACCTGGAGGATGAAAAGTCCGCTCGGGCGAGGGAGGTGCAGGAGATGAAGATGCAAGCTGCGATGGAAAAGCAGAGGATGGAACTGGAGATGGATGGGAGCGGACGTGACCTCAGGACACTGAAGACAGAGCTCGAGACAGCCAGGATGGAGCTCGAAAATGGCAGGAGCGAGCTCCAGAGGGAGAAGGCCATGTCGGCTAGTTTACGGGATAGCTTGTCCGAGCAGTCTGGAGCCACTCTCACGCTCGAGTCTTCGTCGCGTGCTCTTCGGGCTCGTGTGGAGGCTCTCGAAAGCGATGGGAGGACTCAGGCCAACAGTTATGCCGAATTGGAAGAGAAGCTCCGACAGTCGTATGAGGAGGCGAGAATTGCTCAGGAGAAGCTGAGAGCCGAGGAGACCTTGAGACGGAAGTTGCATAACCAGGTCCAAGAGCTCAAGGGGAATATCAGGGTGTTTTGCCGTGTACGACCGACACTTCCTTCTGAGTCGGAGACGCCTGCAGATATCAGGTTCCCAAATGCTGGTGGAGAGAATAGGGAGATTGAAGTAATGGGGGCCACTGAAAAGAGCGCAATGGGCAATGTCGTCACCAAGAACTATCCCTTCCAATTTGACAAAGTTTTCGGACCTGCAACCCATAATCCGGACGTTTTCGAGGAGATTTCGCAGTTGGTGCAGAGTGCTCTTGATGGGTATAATGTCTGCATTTTCTGCTATGGCCAAACTGGCTCGGGAAAGACGTTAGTGCTCTTCCTGGCACATGAATCCCAATATCCCCCTTGCTAACGAGTGGATAGATATACCATGTCCTCGGAAGACGGCATGATTCCCCGCGCCGTGCACCAGATCTATGCAACGGCAAAAGAACTGGAGGAGAAGGGCTGGAGCTACAAGATGGAAGGCAGCTTTGTGGAAGTCTACAACGAGAATATCAACGATCTCCTCGGACAAGCCGACGACTTTGACAAGAAGAAGCACGAAATCCGACACGATCCCAAAGAATTGAAAACCACAATAACGGACATCAACACGGTCACGCTGGACAATCCTGCAAAGGTCGAATCGATCCTCCGCCGCGCCTCGCAGACACGCTCCGTAGCCGCTACGAAGGCGAATGAACGCTCCTCCAGGTCGCACAGCGTGTTCATACTGAAGCTTATCGGGCTCAACTCTGTCACTGGCGAACGCAGCGAAGGGACTCTGAACCTGGTGGATCTAGCCGGCAGCGAGCGATTGTCGCACAGTCAGAGCACAGGAGAAAGGCTTAAAGAGACGCAGAACATCAATCGAAGCTTGAGCTGTCTCGGGGACGTTATCGCCGCGCTGGGCAATGGGAAGGAGAACTCGCATATTCCTTATAGAAACTCTAAAGTAACCCCCCCTCCGGCAAGTTCTGGCAGGATATAGAGCTGACACTGTGGCACGATAGCTCACATACCTCCTCCAATACTCCCTCGGCGGCAACTCAAAGTGCCTCATGTTCGTCATGGTCTCGCCCATGCAAGCGCACCTGAACGAGACGCTCACGTCGTTAAAGTTTGCCACGAAGGTGAATAACACATCCATCGGCACGGCGAAGAGACAGGCCAAGGTTACCGGGTGATGTCCAACAATGACAAAGCCATGAGGAATAAATATTTCGCCTTTTTTTTTGTTTCCTTTTCCGCTCTGCTCTTGGCGATATTTTCGAATTTGGGTTCTCTAGGGGGGTTTTTTTTTAAACACTACTCTTTCCACTTTGTTGCTCTTGCGTTTGCTGGTTCCTGTGCTGTTATTTCTGTCTCTGGGAGAGGATGTGGATTGGCTTTGGCTAGGCTAATCTACGTTTGTTAGTTATCTTATGCAGTGGTGTGTGTGGTGTTTTCTTTTTCTTTTTTCTTTTTCATTTTTACCCTTATTTTCCTAATTCTTCCTTATTCCTCTCTCCTCTCCTCCATTTACCTTCCATTCCCTTTCCTTCCCCAATGCCCTTGATATCCCTTTTTCCCTTGCCCTCCTCGTATCGTATCGTACCATATCGTAGCTACCGGAGCGTGCCCAGACTCATCAGTAATGCCAAGTCGAGGGTTTGTACAGTACAGGATTTCCTCCTTTCCCACTTTACTTATTATTTCGTATTACTAAATCTTTACAATGATACCTCGGGTGGAAGTGTTTTGTTTGGGGGGGGGGGGGGTTGTATCTTTCCGCTGGACTTTGACGATTGTCGCGAAGTGGGATGGTTCTCATTGGTTATGTCCTGTTTGCTTGTTTATATGTTTGTATGTTTGGCGATGCCTGTGTGAATGTTTGTTAGACCCAGGCGTTAGCATTTCGTTTCGTTTTTCTTTTTTCTTCCTTTGGTAGTTAGTGGTATTATAATGATATCATGACGGGTTCCCCCTCCCTCCTCCTTTTTTTTGTAAGTAGTGTACGCTTCCTGCGATGGTGATGCTGTGCATCTAGATTAATACTATAGTGTGTGGTGGTGGTGGTGGTGGTGGTGGTGCTGTTGGAATACGGCACTGATTTTTATCTTATCCCAGCCATATATTATAATATGATACCATCATATTATAATATTATGTTGTGTGCATCCATCCACCCAGGCACAATAGTACGATATAGGTAGGAATAAGAGATAAAGATTTAAACATCATCCCTCTCCCACGTCCCATCCGCCAGCTTGCCCTGCATCTTTCGCATCCCAGGTAATTTGTAAGTCTCCACCAAGCCTGCTCCCTTCTCCTCCTCGGGAAATCCCAGCTGTCTCCTGAGCTCACCAACTGCCATCCTCACCTCCCACGTGGTGCGAATCCTCAACTCCACCGCTTTATCCGCATGTCTAAGTTTCTCCCTATCGCCACCACAATCCCGTACAACCTCCTTCCACTCCCTTCTCAAACCCTCCCACCTGCTCCCATCGACCGGATCGCCAAAGCAAACCCGGACCCTCTTCCCAACCCTCGGCAGAAACCTCGGCCATCCGCGCCCCTCATGCATGACTTGGTCCAGCCCGGTGATAAATATCGGCACCACAAGTGGGGGTACGTCTGCTTCGAGGAGTAAGCGACTAACGCCCCAGCGGAAGTAGCGCATCTGGTAATCGTGCTTCTGGTGCACACGACCTTCGGGGAATACGTGCACCCAGGCGTGATGAGGGTGGGAGAGGAGGGCGATGGAGGTGTTTATGGCGGGCTGGAAGGGACCGCCGAGAGGGGACTTGTGCAGACGGTAGGTTGGTAGGACTTGCCCGAGGTTGAAGTAGGTTGAGGTTAGGGCATTGCGAAAGCAGACATCGTGGGAGCCCAGAGAGTAGCGGATCGATGGAGGGTGCAGGAGGAGGGGGAGGGGGAGGGGGGCAAAGAGTAGGGGGTCATCGAGGCTGGGCAGGGTAATATTGTTAGTCGAGTTTTGGCGGGGGAGGAGGGGGGGTGGTACATGCTAATATGATTAGAGACTTTAGTTCGAGTTAGTAATACTCTCGATTGGTGGGCGACGAAGAAGCAGAGGTGAAAGTGAGGGAAGAAGGAATGAGCGACAGGGTGGGAATGCTATGATGGAGGGAGAATTACCCGTAACCAGCCCTTGCCTCCTCCCCGAAACCTCCCGTCGACTTCTTAACAACTCCAGGAATTTTTCCAGACCTTCGTACTCGACAGTCTGTGTAGTGCACAGGAATAATCTCGACAGTAGTACCGTTCCGGCAATCACACCTGTCGAAGCGATTCTTCGGAGGAGACTTCCTCCGCCAATTTGCGTGCTTCCTCCTCCTCCACTAGCTGCCCCTCCTCCTCCGCCATTGCTCATGTCGTGCTTTGAGGAAGCAATACAGAAAAGAGATGAGGGGTGATACTGTAATGAAGTTCGCTATTTCTGGAATCTGTCCCAGGGCTACGGTACAGTAGTAAGATGGAGGAGTTGATCGACAGGCCGGGCAGAAGAGAGCCGGGTAACGAAATCAGCACAGGGGCTTTTAATGGGGCCCTGAGGTAGCCTAGCACACGGGAGGGTGAGTGGTTGGATGGGCACATTCACATGTGAGAACTCAGACACACACACACCTTGGGAACAGAACACGACACACATTTTCTCATCCTTACTTTGAGAGTTGATGGTGGGCTGTTGTTCAGTGTCCACTGACTTAGCACCTTCAGGCCCACCGTATTCCTACCTACCTACTCTCAGGACAACTATCATCAAATTCAACAAACAAGCAAGCAAACAAATAAACAAGCCATTCAGTCAGTCAGTCATCCGTCCAACCATTCGCAATGGAGAAATTCTCCCAATATCGTGATCGGGGTACGCATCCCAGAAAGCCATCCCCCAAAACCGCCAAACTAATCAGCACAAACCGCAGGCACCCAAATAGCTCCCTTCCTCCCGATAACTCCCCCCCGGAGTACTCTTCAAACCCTAACAGGCCTGCTCCTCTTCGCCCTCCGCCTGCCAATCTTTCTCTCTCTCCTCCTCAGCTACCTTCTAATTCTGCAGCACCTGCCCATTGGCGCCCTCTTACGGAAGTCGATCCTCTGGTCCATCCTCCTAACCTCAGGCATCTGGTGGATAGACCTACAAGTGGAGAACGTGAAAAAGGGTTCCCTCTCCCGTCAACCGAAATCAAAATTGCCCACACCCGGTTCCATCCTGATATGCACGAGCACAAGTCCCCTCGATGCACTCTACTTATCCGCCATCTTCGATCCCGTGTTTACAGTTTCCGCAGCGGGGAGTAGGCGTGTGCAGGTGGTTGGTTTGCTGGGCGCTATCATGGCCGCTTTCGCCCCCCCTGGGCTTGGCGGACCTGCGTCAGCAGCAGCGGCGGCGCCGCCGCTGACCCTGGCGGAACTCTGCAAAAGGTACGGAGACAGCAGAATCATCGCAGTTTTTCCCGAGGCCACGACAACAAACGGTCGGGGGGTGTTGCGCTTTGCGCCGTCTCTGGATACGCTGCACGGGGATGTGGAGATCTTTCCTGTTAGTCTTAGGTACTCGCCCGCGGATGTGACCACGCCTGTGCCCGGGACCTATGGGTATACGCTATTTGCGCTGTTGTCTAGGCCAACACATTGCATCCGTGTGAGGATTGGGGAGGTACTGAGGAATGACGATGGAGGTGAGAAGGAGAGAGAGGAGTTGGCAGGGGATAGTAGTGATACGGTTACCGATGGGTTTGGTGGTGGTGGAGGAGGGGAGAAGGAGGGTACGGACAGACAGAGCAAACTCAGCGAGCGCGGTGCGGAGGCCCTCTCCAGGATTGCGAGAAGTAAGAGGTTGAACCTCGGTGTCAAAGAGAAAATCGCCTTTGTGGAGGCTTGGGGCAGGAATAAGCAGGGGAGCAGTAGTAGACACTAAAGCCAGAAGAACTGTTGGTATGCATGGTGCAAAAAAAAGTGTAGGTTTCTCTTTTTTTTTTTTGACTCTCAAATCGTAGTGTTTACTTGCGTTGTACTGTATATGAGGTTTGTTCCCTCCCCTGTTTCGCTGTGTTACGCCATTGATATCGATGTTTCTCCCCTTATTGTTGTACTGTTCCAACTCACCGGTATTGTCATAATTAAAGTCATAACATGGTTCGATTCTGAACTCAGTTTTGAATATGGTCGGAAGTTGTACCATACGGTACTTGTGACTGGTGGTCATTATGACTGGCTGCAACAGCTAGGAATGAAGAAAAAGAAAAAGAAAAGAAACTAACCCTCTATGAACATGACAGAGCAATGATGACAACACTTCCAACGCCGTACCTACAAGTTTGAAAAAAAGAATGAAAAAAAAACAGCCCATCCCTACGCACAGTACTCGAGTATAGCTAGAACAGGTATATAACTGTGAAAGGCAAGAAATTTATCCAAAGAAATGATGGACAGACAAAAAAAGAAAAGCAAGTTTTTCCAGATCTAGTTCTCATCTCTAAGTTATCCATAATATTTGAAAAAGCAACAAAATTGGCAGCCAAGGGGAAGTAGAAAAGAGAGGGGAAAAAAAAAGACAAAGAATGGGGAGGGGAATAGGAAGTGTGATTCCAGTGTACAATCAGGATCGTTCCAATTTTTACGGAGTCGGCCGAGAATTTTCATCATGGAAAGAACAAATTGTTGATGGTGTAGCTGCAAATTACCAAGTTTCCTGCAACAACTGTCAGCCGAACTCGTGGTGAATAGCAGAGGGGGAGGGGGGCAAACAGCGATGTACTGTCCATCCTCCTTCTTTTGCTCCCAAAATTCTTCGGCTTGTTTACGGCCGAGCATGCTCTTCTTCATGACCACTTTGACGAGAGACTCATGAACGCCTTCGCCCATGCCCTTGGAAGATCCACAGACAAAGACGCGACCATTGAGGGAGCTGATAATGGACCAGACGAGATCGGCCTGCGCAACAACCTCTTCTTGCACATAGCGGCCCGTACCGACACGCGATTGGACAACATTGCGGATCTTGGATTCATGCTCTCCCCACTCACCAGAGTACAATTCGTCCAAAAGAGAGTCGCGAATACCTTGAATGACCCTGGGTTGAATTGTTAGCAGCTGATGACGGTTTAAGCTGAATTAGTAATAGACGCACCAGACTTTATTAGCGCAATTCGCGCTCTGAAGTCTCCTCTGAACGAATCCTCTGAACGGAGCGATGCCGACACCAGCGCCAACAAGCAACATCGGACCATCCGCCTGGAATTGTTTTGCGAGGGGATTGGCCATGAGACCTCTAAACATCGGGATGCGAACATCGCCGGCACCTCCGTTGATTATCCTTGTAGCGCATCTCTCGAAGAAGCCGGAGCCAACGCCAGTACGGTTACCCTCACGCCATCCCTCCTCATGTTCATGTACGGTAACGGCAATCTCGATAATGCGGCGGTCTTTGCTCTTGGGTTCGTGGGGATCGCTGGACAAAGAGTAAAATCTCGGCATTAAAGGCTGAAGGTTGCACAACAAGTGATCCAACGGCGGCTTGGATGAGGGAAAGGCGTTGAGAAGTTGGATTAGAGATATGTAAGGACCCGTGCGCAACCTTCATAATAATTAGTGATTAGTTTATCATAGGATCAGATAACAGATTCACGAGGATCAAAAAAAAAAAGTAAATACTTACTCGCAGAAGGCCGCTTGGCCCTGCCTGGAGCATAGGTACAGCAAAATTGTTTTTTCTACTTCATCCCTAGCGTATTCTGCCAAAAGACGAATCAAATTTTTAGTGGGAGGATAAGATTGAACGTCCACAGTCCAAGTCATGAGTTCTCTCAGAGTAGTGGTCAATGCGCGTTCCTTTGGTTTCCCCCAAATAGTGGGCCATCTACCGCCTTGAGTGTGCAACTGGATTGGGGCGTCGCGTTCATCCTCGTCGATTCCAAGAATGTTCAAAATCTCGGTAACAAGCTTGAAATCGTTCGGAGCGACGACACCGATGGCACCGCCAACACGGAAATCAACACCAGTAATCTCCTCCGGGTAGTTGGTAACATCAAGGTCAAAGTGGTAGGTCCTCTTTAATGCCCCAGGTTTGGTCAGTTCACGTGCGGAGTCAATCCTGGCCGAGTAAACGGCCCAAGGTGGATGAGGTGTGACGTATTTTGGTGGATGAACGTAGACAGTGGATTCATATTCCTCTTCCTCATCAACCGGTTCTATGGAAATGGTCTGGGCAGGAAGGACTGTGATTCCAGTAAGTTTGTCTCTGGAAGTCAAAGGAGACAGTTTCAAATTGAGACTTTTGAACGCAGCATTGCCCGGTGCCCTGACAAACTCCGACGCGGCATGACTGCCAGTGCCGGGTGAGACAGAACTCTCCACCGAATCCGGAAGACGCGAGCAACCCCCACCGCAGCATCCGCTATTGACGAGATTAGTTGCAGATGAATCACTAATCACGTCACAGGTGTTCTGCGGGCCGACAGTAAGCAAATGAGTGGAGGAACGCCTCGGACGCCTGGTGCGAGTGAAGTCAATTCCCAAGACCGGAGCCTTCATTTTCCGAATTAATTGGTCGACCTCCTTTTCGGTAGCGACTTCATCCTCTGACGGATTGGTGACGGAAACGGTAGAAGGTATGTCTAGCCCACTCAAGGGATCATTGGACGCTGGAGGTGGGGGAGTAGTGGTAGCCATTAAGTTCCCGAGAGTATTTGGAGAGGGAGAGGGAGAGGGTGCTGAGGGGGAGGCGGGAAGGTAGATGTGGCGACGGTGTTTAGGAGAAGATAGAACTTCGGCTTAGTGAATGGAGAATTGTTAGTTGAGGGTTTCAGGCCTCAAAAAGAGAGAGAGAGAGAGAGAGAGAGAGAAGCGGCGTTGTATTGAGCTTTACAGGTTTGGCGGGGAAAAGGGAATAATGGAGGAGGACAAAGTGAGAGGGCAGGGCGGGACGCAAGAGCGAAAACACGACGTAAGGGCACGTGAGATCAGTTGAAATAGATAGCCGGAAAATAATAATAATAATGATAATAATATCAACAAACTCACCCATATTAAATGTAGGAGTGGCACGCCCAAGTGTCGAAGGAGTAGAAGCCCGAAAAGAAATGACAATGACAAAGTTTGATCGAGGGAAGGGGAAATTGAAGGAGTAAGAGGAAGGAAGGCGAAGAAATGGGGAGGAGGATGGGGAGAAACTTTAACAAAAGAAATAGGCTCAGCTCAAAATGGGAAGGGAGGGAGAAGGAAAAAAAAAAAAGAAAGAAAGCTGATGCAGAAAGCAAGCAAGCAAGCAAGCAAGCAGTCAGCCGAGAAAAGGGAAGGGGAGGAGGGCAGGGGGAAGGAAAGGAACAGGGTGACAATTGACAGAAAGCGTGGCCAGTCGGTTCGGAACGGAAAATTGATCCCTATGGGGTTATTATATATACCATATGAGCAAGAGCGACGTTAGCGTCTGTCCGTCGAGAGAGGGAAAAGGCCGGGGAGAAAAGGGAGGAGGGGTTCTCGCTTCTCCTTTTTGTATGTATGATAGTCCAGCCCGGATCTCACACCATCACCACCCTCCTGGATCATGCTTTGCTTACTTGCCTATTTGATTCCCGCTCCCGTAGTTGTGTTATGCATGAGAGGGTGAGATTTTTTTTTCTTTTCTCCCACGAGTGCTGTACCGTACCGTACCGGCACTGCACTGTACGGCACTCGGCCGGCACGGCATTCCAAGTTACCAGTTCCCCGGTCGTATACTCGAGTAATATCATACCCGTACTTGCACTCGAGTACCGGTACCAGTGCCAGTATATACATAACACACGCTACAATCGGCCGTAATTAATCAGGCCACAAAAGTGCCCACACAGTACCCTTCTGTAGGCAACAACTTCACATTTACTGCACCCTATCGCCACCACCACCACTACCACCACCACCACCATCATCCGGTCATATCAATTGAGAAGGGAAGGCTGGAAAAAGGAAAAAAAGAAAGAAGACACATAACCTATCATATCTTATCATACCGTACCGTAATAGTAACCATTTACCACCCATTAAAATAGCTCATCCCATCGCATTCCATCGCATTCAATCTGTTCGTCCTCACCCGTCTCCCGATCCGTACTCGAGTACTGTCAGCGTTTCCCACGGGGGACTCAAGTTCGCCCCTACCTCCTCCCTCCTGGACCCTATAATACCTTTTCCGGAGTACTATATGAGTCTGTATCGTACCGCACTGTTCCGAACGGGGGACAGGAAAGGAGATTGCTCGTCTACCGCTATCATACGTATATCACACTGTACACGCCCGTATTATGCGCACTCCCGACCAGTACATTCCTTCCTTCCTTTGTTTCTGCCTACTCGGGCGCCGGTCATGTGCCGCCCTTCTTTGCCCCAGCCTTATCATACCTACTGTACCTACCCGCCCGCAGCAGCCTGCTCACATAACATTGTCATATCCACTGCTTGCTCGAGTAATTCACATACAGCGCCACGCAATAACAAGTCCCCACCTGACCTCTCATCACCCGATAGCAAAGCAGTAGAAAGGAGAAGAAGTACAGTACGAGTACTCAAGTACTACAAGCCAGGACCAAGCTACAGTATAGTACTGTTCCAGACAGTAACACCCCTGCCACTCCCACCACCGACTAGATCCCGCAGGCAAGCGGGCCAATGCAAACATACCGGTAGTGCCTGCCATACCCAAGTTGCATTATCACAACTCGGCGTAACCGGTATGAAACCACACAGACTCGCCAAATCCCGAAGTCCTTCCCCTGCCCCTGCCCAATACTCGAGTATGATATCCGCAATCGAGGGAGAGAGAATGGTGTTCACTTGCTCTCGAGCACTGCACTGCACAGTACCCGTATTGGATGAGGCAAAAGAAGTCCCTCCCAGCTCGAAGGCCAAAAGTGAGAGCTGCCCCACCCCCCTTCCCCCACACTTAGGACCCGTTGCCTTATCACGCTATTATCGGTACCGCGAATTGTCGATATCCTGATGGCCGTCAAGTTAATACCCGAGGCTCTGAGCGTGATCTGATAAACTTTAATTTCCAACTTTTTTACCGATGCTCGTCTCGGGCAATAAGCACCTCCGTATATATACGGTATCGCTGTACTAGTACTAGTACAAGTACAGTACCAAGTACGCTATCAGACCACTGGACCCGAACACGGGAAAAAAAAAAGAAAAGAAAAAAACATATGATACCCGGGTATGGTATGCAACGAGTGTCCATTCATCCGACAATTTCCGAGTCCGAATGGTACTGTACCGGTAAATTGCGGGCTCAGTGTATTTGTTTAATTTTTAATTTTTAGTCCCTTGCTAAAGTGAAGAGCAGGAGAACAAGCTTGTACTGTACCCGTATGATACATACCTCATGATACCTCCAGAACTACCGTACCCCTCCCCCCCTCCCCTTTCGCGGGTCCAAAGACACTGCCGGTCTGGTACAGGTGCCCGAAGTGCTAGTTAGTATCATACCGGTATCTACTCGTATATACTTGCACCGTGTCATGCCAAGATATCTTGCGCTATTGCGACTTTATTAACCCTACTCGTAAATACCACTCCGTCCGTGATGGGTACTGTACTCGAGCACATATAGTGCTCCAGCATGGGACAGGACAGGGCATGAATTAATGAAACAACCTGCAGCTATGATACCGTATGGGGAGAATATAAATAGGTCGACAAGCAAATGGGTGTCCGACCCACCCAACGACGTCGGAAGATTCTGAAACGCTCGCTGCCCGCTGAGATGCGCCCTGCAGCGAGTGCCCGTCCTGCGTTATCATAAAGGCGGGGAAGCGGGCTCCGATGCGTTATTGTAGGTTTTTATAATGGGATTGGGTAGGATGGGAATTCTACCGGCACATTTAATGCAACTGTATGATGCTGCACGGTGCGGTAATAGTAAGTACTGGTACTGTACGAGTACTGTACCCGGCCCGTTGCATCCACCTAGCATCAAGTGTCAAGCATCAAGCAGGTACAATGCAGCGTTCCCGAGACCACGCTTAAATGGGAGTGTTGCTCGGTTGGTCCCGGCATGGCTACTGCGGTAGGGCAGGTGTGGATGAGTGGTTTATGTCGCGGTACGTACGTGGGGACCGTAAGTGGAGGTTTTTTTGTGAATGTGAATGTGAATGTGAATGCGGGGGAGGAGAAGCAAGTGAACGAGATGTATTATATAACATGGGTTGATAAATATACCAGCCGCGAGGTGCGCTGGGTGATACCGTTCTCTGTCCTTCATGTGCTATGTGCTGTATGATACAGGCATGATACCGTGGTCAAATATAAACTGCAGGTAATGATCAACTGTCAAAGTACTTTTTTAGTATCATATGACTACCGGCAGGCTTTTAGTATGGGTGCGGGATGGAGGGGTTTGACTTACGGTGCTGTACGGAATACTTCCAAGGCGGTTTGTGTACGTATTATATGTTATAGTCTGGGGTTTCATTTTCTTTTCCCCCATGACGGAAGACCAATGCGTAGGGAGCGAGAGAAATTTTGGTTTCATCATAACAATTGTCACAGGAGATCGCTCTTGTCTAGGAAGAACCAGTGAATCCGGAAACTAATGAATGGTACGGGGCACATTCACACATGTGAAAGAGCCAAAATAAATAAATTTGAGTTGAGAGGAAAGGTAGAGAGGCTTTTGTTAGCTCAAGACCCCTAATACACCTTGCTCCATCCATCCATCCATCTCTCCTCTTCGGCAAGCTATGAGCAAGACGGTAAACATATGAGTAAACACACCTGAACACTACGGGCATCAAAAGGGGAAGAGGAGGTACCCAAATGCTCCAGATAACAGTTAATGTCAATACCAACAAACAATCCATCCCTCTAGAAAACCCATTCAACAAGCCCCCGACAATGGCGAGGAACCAACTTGTTGTTCTGTAGTAAAGTGTTGCTGTCAACGGGTTCGTTTTCAGATGTGAAATAGGTATAAAAAAAAGGGGGAGGCGGACCCGCGCCTTTCTCGGGAGGGGGGTTGGGTAGCTTGTAGTGGGATGTAAATGTTCTCAAGCTTTCCTTTGAGAGTGGTTGTGTGAGGGGGGGTGAGGTGAGGGGGAAATCCTATGCAAGGATTCCGAGGGTGAAAACACAGACATCCGAAGGGAAGTGAATAAGTTTCAATGAAATGGAAATGCTTTCGAGCTCTCGATTGCTAGTGGCAGTGAGATGGGATGAAGTAGAGGGGAAATATTCTCGTAAAACGTTCTTGGGAATGGTGGTAATGAGGGAAGATGAAAAGGCGGAAAGGAAGGGAAGGGAGAGTGATAGATAGGACGGTAAAAACAAACTTAACTGTTGAGCCAGAGAGGTTTAAAAGGTAAACCCGCGGGCATTGGGTTACCGTTGACAGCTCTTATCGTTGGCCCCCCAGAAGGGGATTTTACCATATGATAGCGTATCGGACCGGGAAGCGGGTTAGACGGGGAAGGGTTCATCAGCAGAAACGCACCGGGAGTGACAAAACCTGGAAACCTCAATCGAAATCCAATAGGGGGGGAAAGAGGAAATACGGAAGAGCAAGAGATACTCCTGACAGTACAGTGTGTTGGATCTGCCATTTTCGGAGTTCCGACCCCGGCGGGAATTCTGCAGTGAGGATTTGGACAGAGGTCTCTTCACTTCTGTACTCCAACCTATTTCCCGGTCTAACGCGTTAACGGTGCCCCTTTCTCTGTTTTCCGGCCGGGCCGGGAACAATACTGTGGCGGAGATGCTGTTGGTCCGGCGGCGGGGCATCGGTACCGGTAATGACTGACAAGTGTAGATACTGACAGGAAATATCTGCTGGGAAAATATTGGCCAGATGGCGATGAATTAGGTCTCCCTTTAGCAATTCTCATGAGATCGAAATCTTATCTTCGGGCTGCTGCTACCGGTATTTCGGGTGTCGGATGGGCCCGAAAAAGCGGAGGAACTCTGTAGGTTACTCGGGTACTCGAGTGCCATCCCTTCGTTCGTTCCCGAGTTTCACGACCTTTTAGCGCGAAGCTTGTCCTCCGGTCTTCAAAAACTAGGCTCATGAAAGGATGGCTGCGGTTGCTTAATGGTGACCTGGCCAATAGAATTTGTGGCTCCCAAGGAGTCAATTAGTCTTTCCCTCAAGTAGCGAGACTATCTCCCTATTCGTCTTGGGCGTGGGGTCCTGAATACAGACGAAGGGATACCATACCGGTACTAGAGGCGCTCTGCACCAGGATTGAAAATTCTTTAGTCTAAGTTACCCCCGTGCAAGCTTTTCCAGTTGAAAGACTTTGGTGTGTGTAACGCCTGTTTGCATAGGGCAGTCTACAAAACTGTCAAGTCAACTGCCGATAGACACTTGACACTCGAAAAACGCCTTTTAGCCGGGGCTGAATGCGTCAAACGCACAAGCACTTGGATATATGGAAGACGCTAGGGGTTAGGGTTTTGCATATTACTCACATAATCTTCCGAGCACAAAAGAAGTTCCACCATAAATTATTGCCTCATTCACCATCCCAACTCCGCAATCGCACCGAAGGAGGAGCAGGAGCAGAAGCGGAAGAAACAAAGGGTCAAAATGGCGAAAAAGTACAGACCCAGGTTCCCAAAACCGACACCGGACCCACATGCCTACTTTAGGAAGAACTCTGCATGCGCTGCGGAAGCTTCCTCTGCCACAACAGGAGCAGGAGGGGATACAGGTGTGAACTCAATTCTGGCAAAACTCCGCTCCGGAACTCCAGGTATTGCAAGGCCCCCTCTAGCGGTGCCCTCGGTCCCTCCTGTTCTCCAGGAAATCCTTGAAAATGCAGCTCCGTCGCTGCCGCCGCCCGCATGGAGAATCGCCGTTGGAACTGGAGTCGGAGGAAGAATGAGGGGGAGGATACCAGGCCCACCACCACCAGCTTCCTGGCTGCACCCGGAGGCGCTAGATGATCGGGCGCCTGTCGAAGACAACGAGCAGCGGAGTGCAAGTGAGGGGGTTCTAGTCTGTGGGGTGCAGCACCCCTTATCATACCTTCCGGGAATGACCTCCGTTGGTGACCGAAGACTCCTGCACTACGCCCTTAAAGCCATGTCCCTGCACTGGGAGGAGCACGTCTTGTACGACCAGCACTGGCTACAGTACCTGCCAGCGAACGTGAAGACCCTCCTTCTCTCTTATATCGCGGCATATGCCCCTACTGGTGTGACACTTTCGGGGCTAAGGGTGCTGTTCAAGCTCCCGGACGAGGAAATCACGACGCTGGAGCTGTCCAGGGGTTTAAACGCCGGATTGGCGCTCCCGCAGCTTGCGCACTTCCTCCGCCCAAACAAACGCCCCCAGGCGGAGGTTTCGGCGTCTTGGGAAGACGAGATGGACGACGAGGGGGAGGACACTGGCAAGGGGTATACAACCTTGTTCCCAAACCTGACGCATTTGTCGCTCGCATATCCAGACGCACCGGTCCCATTCTCTCAACTATTGACATTCACGGCCTCTGTTCCACCAACCATCACCCACCTCTCACTCGCTGGGTGGACCGAGCACACACCGGACGGTATGAGGCGGCTTGCGAGAAACCTGCTCGGGTTGAAGTGGTTGGATGTGAGCAATTGTCACCGGGAATTGTACGAGCAGTTGAAGGACGTGGAGTGGTGTGGACCATGGAGGAACATGGAGACCGTCGTCGCGAGGCAGCAAGGGGATGTGCCGCCAGCCACGAAGGCTGCGAGGAATTTGAAGGCGAGGGAGCTGAAGAAGGCCGTTCGCGAGGTTAGGAATGAGAAGGGTGGGAAGTGGTGCGATGTTATTTTCGATGAGGATGGAGATAAGAATACCGTCCTTTGAACATGTTTGTATAGTTTTTCTCCCTTTCCTTTTCTTGATTTTTATCGGCTGCGGTTCTGGGATCATTTACCTGGCGAATCTTGTGGGAATTCGGTATGCTGGATAGGGTTTTCTATGAATTTATTGGGTTTTGCTTGCGTTTGTTTGGTTTTGTGGTGCGGGTTTAGACATCCCGAAATTCTCTACTCTTTTCGTACTGTTTATGAGATTTTGTGAAGGTTTGATTGCCATATATGATACTTTCTAGTGCTTTAAAGGGATTGTTAACTATCGTATGATAAACCGGCTTAGGTGTTGGGTGTGTTCTTGCCCTCAAAGTCGGCAGCTGCTGGCCACACATTTGCTGTATTATTGTATAGCACAGTATTATACGCAAGGAACCGCTGGACGCCGGTAGATTGATTTTGTGACTTCCATCTATGGCGCCATAATGCTCTCGCAACCAGACTTTTTTTCTCCTTTTCAAAACTTTTTACTACATGAAAAGTTTTGATCATGGTACTAGTATGATATTTTATATAATTTTATAATTCGTGGACGTAATGCCGTATGATAACATCAAAATTTCTCCAAACACTTGATCGCAGGACGGGAATAAAGAAAACAAAGAAACGAGAAAAGCCTCCCCCTATTCACTACAGGTATCTAAAAAAGCACATAATCACTGAATGTCAGATAAACTCCAACAGTTTTTCCCACAATTGCCATACACCGTCACTCGAGAATTCAGGACTTGAATGCCTCCAACTCCAACTCCAGCTTTCGGATGATCTCGTCCTTTCTGCTACTCTCCTCGTTCGCCTTATCAACTTTGCTCTTAAGGGTGTCAAGCCCCCTAGTTAACTCGGCAATGTGTTCGCTCTGATTTGCCAGCTGTTCGTTCTGGCTGGCAAGAGTTTTGGTCTGAAGCTCTAGAAGGGAGGTGATGCGGGCCAATTGGTCAGCAATACCAGGATCCTTTGAGTGTTGCGGGGGTGGTGTGGTTTGTTTGACCGGTTCCGGCTTAGCCTGGGGTGTCGGATCGGGCAGCTTGTTGGCAATCTTGGCCGGTTCCTCGGTTGGGATAGGTTTGGGTGCCTTCTCTTCCGAGGGAGCTCGGACGGGTGTAGGGCTTTCCTTGATTGGACTCGCGGGAGCCTTCACAGGCTCCGGGACAGGCTTAGGAAGCGGGGCAGTAATAACCTTAGGTACATAATCTACAGCGGCAGCAGCTCCAGCGGGCACAGAAGGCACTGACTGGGTGAGCGGTGTTTTCAGTGTCTTTTGCGCTGCGCTGGATTGCCCGTCGCCACTATAGAGAGTTTCGAGGTCCATCGTTTGTTGTTCGCCGTTCTGACCACCGAGCCAGGCATCCGCCGTAAGCACCGCTTCGCCATTGAAGCAGGGAGGATAAATGTCGCTATCTATAATTAGCTTCATTAACCGATAAACAGTTTGGGATCGCAATAACACCTCTGGAATGTCTCCGCCTGTAAACCTCAGCGTTAGCAATTGATGCAATAACCTACTTCGAGCGTCAAAACTTACGCGACGTGGTACAATAAAGGAGATTGGCTCAATATATGTATCGTTGACTGTCTTGAACGCTCGCATAATTTCATTCTCATGAAGCTAAGTGGATAAAGGCAGTTAGTACCATTTGGTAATTGGGGCAAGTTAAGTGGGCTCACAGCGACTCCTCTCTTTGGAAGGAATGCAACGCCTCGCTGGGGATCACCACTCTTATACTCTGACAGGAATATGAATTCATCATTAGAGTACTCGAAGTAACGAATGTTACCGTCGCTACCCAGCTATTAGTGGATCATCTCATCTAATTAATGTTTGCTCTTACCCTTTGCCTGCCAAATAAATGCACTTGGTTCCTTCGTCCCAAAATGGCATACAGACACCGGATATGGTGTCTAACATCTCAAACCCGTTGAGTGGACTATTCTCGAGATTTCTCAAATCCCAAAGACCTAGTTGCCTATCGCTCATCTTGCTAAAACCAGTAGTGGCGATCTTATCACCCCCGACATCACCTGTCATCCAAACGGCCCTGCTGTTCTTAGCCCCGGTATGCCCCTGTACCTCATGGACCGCGGTTTCTTGCCGGGGATCCCAGATACGGAGTTTCTTGTCGCGACAGGTAGTCACGAACAGGGATCCGTTTGTTGACCAAGACATCGACTGAACAACCTCCGAATGCCCAAGTGTACGGAGACAAGTCCCCGATGAAATGTCCCAGAGTTTGACACTGTAATCCCCTGATGAGGTGGCGAGTATATTCTCGGCGGTGTTATGGAAAAGCACATGACCAACCTTCCTGCTGTGGCCAACTAGCTTGGAGACTGGGTCGACATCGGTTGGCCCTTTATCGTCATCCGAGAGCACAGAGAAGTTTTCTGGTACTGCCCAAATAAAGACCTTCCCATCGTCAGAACCAGACGCAATGAGTGAATCGTTGAAAGGAGACCAATCGGTATCGAGAACTGGTGCCGTGTGGCCACGAAAAAGGGGTATTTGTTCAGGGAGGCGGCCTCGGTGGGATAGTGGGATAACGGCAAAAGCTCCACCTCCGCCAGATTCCCAATTAACGGAGAGGTACTGAGGGTTAGCCTTGATGATGTTGGAATCCCAAGCATTCTTTGAAATGTGGCTGCGCGGAGATTAAGGGTCAGGATGTATCTTGGAGGAATGCCTGGCGCATGGAAATTAGAGAGAGCATTTACAGGTTATCATAGCATTGCTCCTATTGGTTATTTAGCTTGAATTGTGGATAACTTGGCCGCGGGAGTGTCTAGATGGGAACGTACCTTTCTCGTGGGCCTTCCATAAATATGGCCTGAAAAGACCCACTTGTCAGCTTCCGCGCATGCTTTATTGCTTTGGAGGGATGGAGCTTACGATATTTGGAGGATCTAACAAAACGACCGGCCATTGCGGAGGTATGGTAAAGCTAGAACCAATGTGAGAGATGGCGGGGGGTTGTTACTGAAGGTATGGAGGATGAAAATGTATGGAGCACGAGAGCAATTTCTAGCGGAAAGAAGGTGGTATCATACGGTATCATATGCGCCGGTATTTTTTCAAGTGCCCACCTTGAGGGGGTTTCGGGATTTCTCTTGGCAACCACACCGCCACGACGAGCGCTGAAAAGGTTCCCAAGCGAGCGCGTGAGCCTTTGTCTCGCACCCCCGAAAATTGGAGGTTTTGAAACCTGCAATACGGTAGTTGACAGCTTGCCCGATACTGGTACGGTAGCTGATTCGAGGTAGAGCCTGGGAACAACTTTGTTGACGGTGGGTTTACTGAGACGGAGCAAGTTACACAGTTTTCACGGCGATAAATTTCTGCTGGGGATAGGGGCCCCTGACAAGGGGTTGCTCTACCAGCCTAAAACCCCACGCCGGGAAGACCCAAGAGACATTCGCCCCCTTAGGGTAACTTACCCTTAGAGATGGGGGACTTCCACGAGGTAAGGTTGTGGGGCCCCAGGCTGCAGGAACGCATGGGGACTCCGAATCCGGTACGTCCTAAGAAACCTGACCTGTGGAGTCCGATGGGCTACAGTATCATACCGTACTGCTCGAGTACGGTAGAGCATAGAGCCAGGTTTGCCGTGCGAATCGCGGGGCCATTTCCCGATTGTAGGGAAAAGCGGTAGCACAGCATTTGCATCGGGCATTGAATTATTTGGATGTCGAGGAAGCAATTTTGCATCGAATAAGAACTTGGGTGCTCTTTCGTAGGCCCGGAAATGGTTCTGATCTCCATCCTACTAACCCCATATCAGCGCTCATAGTTGCGAGCGTAATTCTTGGTCAAAATGGGGGTGCAGAGGGAATTCAAGCTTAGTTGGAGTTATCATGCACAGGTGGCTCTCTGATAAGGGACTTTCTGGTGGGGGTGATCACCGTGCGCACTATTGTGAGCTTTGATGGGTCCAAGATAACCTCAACGGGGTCACTAACAGCGTCCTAGGCCTCAGCGCATAGCAAGAGTTTTAGTCTCGAAACAGGATTACTAGTCAACGAAATATAGGATGTTAGTGGTCTCTTGATAGGGCTACAATATCGTTGAAGATTCCTTGCAATGAATGGTGTTCGATTCTTATATCGGCATTGGGTATCGGTACCGCTCTACCCCTCGAGTTGTTGCAGGCGCTGGTTACATGTTCTGGTGTGGCATTCAGTGTTGTCGGGTTCATGGGGTATGAATAGCTCATTCGTTGTGGGAGTTGATATCGGATGATGAGTCAGGTGATATCGAGGGAGAGAGTAAGATCCTGTCGGAATACCGGTAAGCACCAGCTACGGCATCAGCGCCCTTAACTTGCGGCATCAGTTGCTATGATACCTGGCCACTATCATTGCGGCGAAACGACACATCACCCTCGGTCCTCCTAGATGCGTGTGGAGGTATTGGATTCACCATATTCGGCTTATGGATAGCTGCAGGTACCGATGGCATTGGATAACTAGTCCATTCAAACCCCGGTAGGCAACGGTGTTCGGGCAGCTTCATCCTGAGCTCCGGGAAATGCCTTTCTTCTATGGTCGAACTAGGTTCAAGCCACCGGCCTCCCCAACCCTCTGGGGGGTAAAAGTCAAGCCAAGCCTTTCCGAGCACCTGCAAGTAGCGCATGGGTTAAACACCGGTATTATACGAGCACATCAGGGGATTGGTCTACTATAATAGGGTGTCTGTGCTTCACAGTACTGTACCGGTAGACCACAGTACCGGTACTGTTCCTGCATTCTCCTGCGGGTCCCCACAAAGCACGTGCAAATTTACTATTCAAGGTTAACGTCAAGTTACCGTAAGGCAGATCTGCTGTCTGAGGGATTGGTGCTGTTTTGTGCTGCTGGTCGCCTTCATGGAATTTATTCGTGCTAAATTCTTCAACATGTGAAAGAACACTTCAGGCCCAAAGGAGATTTCACACGCTTCTTTCGCCTTTTCACGGCAACTTCCGATTGCCAACGTCCGATCAACCTCGGGTCATAGGAATCGGAGAAACCGCATAGAATCAAACCCAAGACATGACGTTAGCATCGCTCCCCACTAACTCCTTCGAACTCCCCCGCTGGATCTGAGCCACGAGACAAGGTCCAAAATGATGAAGTGTAGTCTGATTGCGTCCTGTTTTTAGGGTATAAATTAAGCTGTGGGGCATCTGACGTTCAAGGGCCTCCCTCGGGATTCCTCGGCTTGTTCAGAGAAAAAGACAATGTCCTTGCCTATCCTTGAGAATGAAGAATGGATTCCGCTAAAAAGGCTAGTGTTTTTTTTTGGTGTGGCTCAAAATTTAGGAGCTAAATAGTGTTTGTTCCCCTCTTCAAGTTGCTCGAAAAATATATCCTGATATCTACTTTTTTGGTCCTCTGGAACCCCTTTCTGCCTGTCTGCCCAGTTCATTTTGTCCAGTATCTCTGGAATCGTTTTTGCGACTCCCTAGTCTGTTGTGCACATCAGGTTCCGGGCAAAGATGTCAGCGAGGAACGGGGGTGAGAACGGGAATGGCAGAAAGAAGCCAACGGCTGCGGTTCATTTAATAGGTATTGTACCCACGGCCTCTGAAGAATACATGAATGTGACTGACAACCATGGACAGCTGGAGGAGGAGCAGGCCTCTGCGAAGCACTGGCATGCCATCCACTAGGTGATTCCTTGTCCCTCGATTTTCCGGATACGGTCGCGGGCCTCTAACGGTAAATATCCGTAGATACAATCAAGGTCCGCATGCAGCTCTCCCGCCGAAACCGAGCGCCGGGAGTAAAGCGTAAAGGATTCTTCATCGTCGGAAAAGAAATTGTCAAACGTGAAACTCCGTTAGGTTTGTACAAAGGTCTCGGAGCCGTTGTGACCGGTATCGTGCCAAAAATGGCTATCAGATTTTCTTCTTTTGAGTTCTACAAGAGTTTTGCAAAGGTCCATCCGGAGACGGGGAAGATTAGTGCCAAGGCTGTGTTCATCTCTGGGCTTGCAGCGGGAGCTACGGAGGCTGTTGCCGTTGTTACTCCTATGGAGGGTGGGTGGTTTGGGGTATTTGCGGGTTTGGTCTGTGCTCATTCTTTTTAGTGATTAAAATTCGACTACAAGCGCAACACCACTCCATGGCAGATCCGTTGGATATACCGAAATACCGTAATGCGGCGCACGCGGCGTATACCGTCGTACGTGAGGAAGGGTTCAGAACGCTATACAGAGGTGTATCATTAACAGCTCTACGGCAATCGACCAACCAAGCAGTGAACTTTACTGCGTATACCTATATGAAGCAATACGCTCTCACTCTTCAGCCAAACCTCTCTGAACTCCCCAGCTACCAACATTTGTTATTAGGATTGGTTTCCGGCGCAATGGGGCCGTTGTCCAATGCTCCGATTGACACAATTAGTTTGTCCCTCCACTGGACCATACTTGTCGTAGCCCGACTGACATTTATTAGAAACAAGGCTCCAACGCTCCGAAGCCCGGCACGGGGAATCCGCACTCAAGAGGATAACCTTCATTGCAAAAGACATGTTCAAACATGAAGGATTTCGGGCGTTTTATCAGGGCATTACGCCCAGAATTATGAGAGTAGCCCCCGGACAGGCAAGCCCCCACTCCCATGCCCCCCGCGTAAGAAGGCATGAAAGGCTAACGGGAGTGTGGTTAGGCGGTCACATTCATGGTGTACGAGTTTATCAGAGGGCATATTGAACGATTCCAGGTTTCTGGGGATAATGATAATCAATATAGGGAGTAAGCGAGAGAAAAATCGAGGAGGCTTAAGGTAGTCTGTCTTATGGAACTGTGATGTTTGAACCGTAGAATAATTACGTCTGTTTGGATTGGCGCCCGGATTATGCTGTTCGATATCTGCTAAGGCAACCGGTAGCCTGTGCCGAGTGATAGCATATGAATAAGAACAAACAAATATTCTCCGGTAGACTAATTACTCTGGTGACACCCCTCTAACTACATAATGTATCATACTGAATCCATCGGTGGATCTGAGCCCGTACCAGCCAGCCCCTACTCCCAGAAAAAGGCCAGGTTTCTGTTCCTGAATTCTGTTCTCAAATGCTTTAATATGATACTGGTTCTGCAAGCACTAGTAGTTTCAATGGAGGATTTGATCAGAATTGATAGAATTATACTTACAGTATCTAAAGTAACTGGGTAAAAGTCTGTGAAATGCTTAATAAGTAACTTAAGTAAGTAACTTAGTAGAACCAGTAGGTAATCATATAGTTATAATTATTTAGGAACTAAGAATTTTAACAAATGATTTTAGTACACATTTACTATAGAATACATTATTCTTTTTTAATTATAAAATATATATTATTATTTAAAAACTGATAAAACTAGTAA